TTACAGACAATACTTGACTTGACAGTTTTCTCTAATTTCAGATTTTAGCCTTTGCTAAAGGACAGCATCACTTGGCTTTGTGAGGCTGAAGAAATGAAACAAATTTTGTTGTAGTTTTGTGCTGAGGTTAAATATAATTTTGTATTCTTGCTTTTGCACTGACTATCTGATGCACAAATTTGACAATTTTTCCAGGGGCTCAAGGTGGAGAAAATGCTCATTTTAGAGAAGGGGAGCTGTCTCCACTGCCACGGGGAGCTTGGCATGTTTGTGCTTATAAGTCCTTCTAGTCATCTGCTAGGGAAGATATGCTCCTGCTCCAAGAAAAGGAGAGATGAAGTCATCGATTATCCTTAGTCATGTAGCAGAATCTTGGGTCAGTGTCTTTATTTCAGGATTGGGATATGGCTCAGTGGTAGAGCTGTTACTTAGCATGTGTGGGGCCCTGGGTTTGATCCCCAGAACTGCATAGACACACACAAAAAATGTCTGTATTTCAGCTGTGCAAAGGAGAAACGTATCCCCCCCCTTTAAAAAAAAAACACAAAATGGAACAAACCTCAAAACATTTCCCGTTTTCATATACATATTTCATTCACAGCTTTAAATGCAAGTTAACATTCTGTGTTTTGGTTTCCAGAGTTTGATGACTAATTTCCCATTTGCGTCATCCCATTTGTGTCATTTTGTTTGAGAACTTACATTTCTCAAGAATATTTGTTGGAAATGATGTTTAATGTTTTAAGGATGTGTGCACAGGTAAATCAATTTTATCCTAATGCAGCGATAAATGTTGGTACATCAGATCTGAAAGAAACTGAATTGGACCTACATTCAATCTAAAAAAGTTGCACTTTTTCTCACCAGTCTTTGTGTAGTATTAGTTTTAGTTCATTTAAGGATGCAGGATTGCAGCCGGGTGCCAGTAGCTCACACCTGTAATCCTGGCTACTCAGGAGGCAGAGATCAGGAGGATTGCGGTTCGAAGTCAGCCTGGGCAAATAGTTCTGTGAGACCCTATCTTGAAAAACCCTTCACAAAAATAGGACTGGTGTTGTGGCTCAAGGTGAGGGCCCTGAGTTCAAGCCCCAGTGCTGCAAAAAAACAACAACAAAAAAGATGCATGATTGCTGAATCCTGTGGTAGGTGTGTATCCAGTTTTGTAAGAAGCCATCAGAGTGCCTTCCACGGTGGCTGTACCATTTTGCATTCTACCAGCAGTGACAAGAGTTTCTGTTGCTCCACATCCTCACAGCATTTGGTGACATCATTGTTCTGGATTGTAGCATTCTAGTAGGTGTGTAGCAGTGTCTCATTTGAGTTTGTAATTCCCTAATGATGTGATGTTGAGCAGTTTGTCATCTGCTTATTTTCCATCTGTGTATCTTGCCAAGATGTCATTTCAAATAGTTTGTCCATTTTTCATGATTATTGTTGAATATTACAACAGTAGCAGTCAATGAATATTGTAAAGGTTGTTGTAAAGGCTCTTTGTGTATTTGGGGTAACAGTCCTTTGTTGGATATGTTTTGCAAATATTTTCTCTGTCTGTTGCCTCTCCTTTTCATTTTCAGTCTTCATCCATTCTGCTAATATCCAGTTTCATCTTTGAATTTGGAGAATGTTTGAATTAGAAATCTATAAATATTTGAGAATGAAACGTGTTTAGATTGCTTGTAGATGTTTCATTTTTAGGATATTTAAAACCCTCCAGATTGTTGGGCTGCAATATCCCCATTTACTCTATCAGAGACATGCAGTTTGCTGGGACAGAGTGTCAGGAAGAGGGAAGGCCACTGATGCCTTGTCTCTGTAAGATAGTAAAATCTACTTTTCTGGATGATGTCACAGTAAATGGTATATTGGAACTGAGCACACCTTTGAGGCAAAGACAAGAACTTGATTCACAACAACTCACAATACTAAAAGCTCTTAGTCCTCTCTGATTAGGTAATTATCCACTGTTCTGAATACTGCTATCAAATTTTTTTCACTTTATTCAATTTTTGACTCATAATGGTTGTGCATATCCGTATCCAATGTCAGAAGGACACCTAGATTTGATCACTTAATGAACAGCATGACTTTGAGAACCACAGTACTTAGTATAATTTCTCCAAAATTTCCAATGTGATTGTTGAGTTTCAGCCATCTGTTAAAGGCTGTTTTCCATAAGAATATGCAGATGTCAACAAGTAGAAATAGTTGACTTGAAAAATTGGATAATGAGCTAGAAAAAAATCTTCTGAATTAAAAGGATCAACAATTTTTACTCAGGCCAGGGTCCAGTGGTTAACGTTTATAATCCAGAGATCAGGAGGACTGCAGTTTGAAACCAGACTGGACAAATAATTTGCAAGACCCTATAAAAAAAAACCCAACAGAAAAAGAGCTGGCAGAGTGGCTCAAGGTGTAGGCCCTGAGTTCAAACCCCAGTGCCACAAAAAAAGGAAGGGAGGGAAAGAGGAAAGGAAGGAAAGGAAGGATTTTTAGTTAAGAGAGATTTTAGAAGGGATCCAGTCCAGGGCTGGAAAAGAGATTTCAAGTCATGTCCCAACTCCACCCATTAGTGGCATCTTTCTCATTACAATGGTGTAAGGGTTCCGAATTCCTATAGGGATAAGCAGGAAAAAACTTTAATGCACAAGTATATCGCCATGGGTGAGAGAGGCTAGTCACAGCCTCAAGCTCTTAGTCACCTTGCTCCACAGAGTTTATATCTTTGCTCAAGGATGACAAAATGGAGACCCAAATCATTTAATAGCTTGTCCAAGTCATCACTCAGCTGTCTGGTATCTGTACTGGCATATAGCAGGCAAGAATGTTACTATTTCCAGTCCATATTACCATCCACAGTAGATCGTAGACAACCCGTCTAAACATCTCCCGTGTGAGGAATGGACCATTATTATCATCATCTTAAAAATTGTAGTGTTCAAAGTATGTTTAAAACATTCAGTAAGAAAAGATGTGGTCTGCTCCAGAGAAACCTATGAGTCATTCGTAGAAATCAAATTGAGAAACAGGAAAAGTGGGAATCAGTTAGCATAATGTCGTCTGCCTGTGCTAACCCGTGTCATCTGTTAGGCAAAAGGAAGAGTTCGTAAAAACACAGCTAGTTGAAACAGTGACCTGAGGCATGCTCAGAATGGACTCCTCCATTGAAGGCTGCTCTGCTCTGTTGGGTCAGTGGATGCAGGAAGCATAGAATCAAAGAAAGCCTTGAACAGAAAAGGTTTTGTATGGTATTTGTTTGGGTTATTTTGTTGTTGTTTAGTTACTGAGAAGCAACTTGAAAAGTCACCGAAATGTATTGTATGTGCCCATGTAAACAATGTAGCTAGTAATTAGGTAGTAAATAGGTACTTGATATCCGAGGAAAGAGCAGGATGTGTTATAATAACACTGCATATTGGCACCACCAGGATGGTATACGCGTTCCTATAGAAAGCATGCACTGTAATGTGTGCTACATTAGTTATCCCACCATTGTCAACCACTGGGCTATCAGACTGGCTGACATTCATGTAATGTGTGATACACACTATCATTGGACCACGGCTAAATGCATTGTTTGAATGGCAACCATTCCAAAGAAGGAGGCAATGTCATGCCCATTTTACAGGGGGAAAAACAAGTTCACACAGCAGCGAAGGACACACGGGAAGATTCAAACCCAGGTTTCACCGGATTCTAAAACCACTACCCAGATCCATTAGCATAGTGCTGAGTGCCTCTCCCTCCAACTTCTCTGCACCTCTGTTCTTAACTGTAAATGGGAAATGAAACCAAGAGAAGCATTGGAAGAACCAATATTGTGTGCAAACTTTAGAATTTGTCAAGTACTATTCAGAAATAATGTGCTACCATTTATAAATAAAAGATTTAAGCCAGCAAGCAGCACTTCATTTATTCCTATCCAGTAAGTGATGTTATAGAGTTTTGCTAACAAGTAATTTATTTCCAGACTTTATGAGACTTTTGCCCAAATACATCGTTGATTATTAGCTAGCTACAGTTTAATCTTACTTTTCCATCATAAATTTGTCTTTTTCCTAACAGTCATGCTTGAGGGGACTGAGTAATTAACTTCAAACATCATTAGAGTTGCACAGGAGCATTCACTATGTACAGCTCTTTTAAATGCTTAGTATTATGGCACAGACATAAGTTTCTCAGTTTTCATATGTCTCATTGTTAATACATTAAATATTAATGTATTTAGGTATTAATGTAAAATATTAGTACCACAGAAGCAAAAAAGGAATTTAGATTAATTGTTGCCAGTACATCCATTGCAGACTTGAAGGCTGTGTTGAAAGACCTTTGAAGCACTGGATGAAAATATGATGCAATGTATCATACCAAATTAAGCTGATGGATTTTTCCCCAGATAGTGTCTTTTTCCTCATGTACATATGGTAACTGAAATCCTTGAACTTACTGAATATTTTGTTATGGTTAATAAGTATTTGTTGTCAAAGAAATGGAATTTTGAAAAACAACATACAGGATTGAAATTTGAGGCAAAAAAACCAAAAATACTGCACATAGTTTAACAGACTTTAGAAAATGATGCATAAAATTTCTAAGTATGCATTGGAATAGAGAATTTTTTAGATAGGGTCTCACGCTTTTCACCCAGGACCAGCCTTGAACTGTGGTCTTCCTACCTATGCTTCCTGTGTAGCTGGAACTGCAGAGCACACTGTCATACTCAGCTTCTTTGTCAAGATGGACCTTGCTAACATTTTGTCTGTGCTGGCCTTGAACTGTGACCCTCCTGATCGCCACCTCTCAGTAGTTGGGATTACATGCATAAGCCACCATGACTGGCTGAGGATTACTTTTTTAAGCCTCTTTACTAAACAGGAGATGTTGAAGTGAGCACACTTGTCAGTCACTGAACGGTTGTGTTTTATGTTTTACCCACTTGCAGCAATTGGGAGAACGTTATATGAATGTTGACTTGGTTTTTTTGTTTGTTTGTTTTCTTTTAGAAACGGTCCAGAGGGCAAGTGCTATTTGATAAAGTGTGTGAACACCTGAACCTGCTAGAAAAAGACTACTTTGGCCTCACATATCGAGATGCTGAAAACCAGAAGGTAAGAGATAAAAAAACCATGAACTGTTACTGCATAGGCTGCTGATTGCTGCACAGAAGTGACCTGAAACCCGATAGGGGTATTGCTCTCTCTACCCACCCTCACACACAGGCACACTTCCATGGCTTTGAGTCCCGAGATGCTGTTATGCACCCTTTCTCCTCCTGAAGGAAGTCCTTGGCAGCTTCCTTTATTCTTGAATGTTTTAAAAATATCGAGTCAGCTCTTCTGTATTTCATCTTTGAGTTACATCTGGTTCCAAGAAGGCATTCCACATGGTGCTTTTTTGAATTATATGTCTCGCTGGATTATTTTTGAACTCACGAAAATCAAATGTTTCGAAGCTTATGTAGAAAACATACTCACACCCCAAAATTCTTTGAAGAATTTGTGGTTGTGATGTAAACTATCATGGCAAGTCCAATATTGAAGCTGTGTTCTAGTCCTAATTCATCTTGTACTTTTATATTCTTACCAAATCAGAAGATGAGGTGGGCTGTTGGTTGACCTGACACCTGTGAAATCCATCTCCTAGGTTACCCGTTTAAGGCAATCCCTAGGAAGACCCTTATTCTTGAGTAATAACATCTGTTCAGAGCTTAAGCCCATGACTGCCTGAGGAACAAGGGAGAGGAAATTGCTCCCATTGTTCTGGGCCTATAAACTGAGTCATAGGAGTTTTGGTCACAGATGTTAATTTATTTTGTCTTGCACTCTGAGTCAGGCTTATTCCTACTGAAGTTACTGCACAATGTCTAACTTCATTATCAGAGGTCAGATATTTCGTACTAGAAAAATCACAAATCTCAAGCGAGTGTTCATTTGTGGGAGAAGTTTTAGGTAGGTGCCGAAGAATCCATCATCATTAACATCACTAATGGAGAAGTGAATGGCTAGGATATCTGTGTGTCAAGTTATGTGAATCTTGCATTTTTTTCTGGTAACTTGTTTGAACATAGAATCTTCTACCATTTTCTTTCCTCTGATTCTGTGCTAGTTCCTATCTTTGAAGACAATGTTTGTAAAAATAAAAAGGACATTGTTAACTATGGACTGCACATGGTGCATTTCCTCATCAGACCAGTGCCTGGGCCCTCTCAGGGAAGAAGATCACCAGAGTGGGGGCGGGGTGCGGGGGGCACTGTGGTAAAGGTCTTCCCATGATTGCTCATGCTCTGATTTTAGGGCCTGCCTGTATTTAACCAACATTTAGTAATTTTTATTCTCTGATTCAAATTCAAAATATTTCCTTTTCAGAATTGGTTGGACCCTGCTAAGGAAATTAAAAAACAGATTCGAAGTAAGTTACTTTGGATTATTTTATGTGGTAAGGTAAAGATTTTTAAGGAGTGGGGTAACCCTCAACTAAGTGGATAGCGTGAATACTGAGTTTTTAAAAGACAGACTACAAGTTCAAGTTTGAGCTCGCCTATTTGTCTGGGCTAGAATAGTACCCATTAATTTGTCATCACAACTCATAAATTAAAATGACTTTGACACATGACCTGTCGCCCTTCCTGTACATAGATGTAAAATATTAGTCGAAATTAATCATTTAAAGTTCCAAACTTAATTACTAATGTTGTACTAAACCTGTCACAAACATATCAAAGCCAATCTAAAAGTAATAATCATTTGTGAGATTTAAAATGGCACAACAGATCAGGGCAAAGCTCATTGTCTGGTGACAGTCTCTTCTTTCTCCCTAAACACAAGGTAAGATGTGCGTATTTCCTAACTGATGAAACAATTTCACGAGCAACTCAAAAAATTGAGATACAAGTAGCTAACATGTGTTAAGCAAGTTGCTAAATCTAATGTTTGAATGCAAATTAAAATGAGGCCATCAATTTTCACCCATTAGGATTAACAAAGATTTAAAAGGCTTAATAAGTTTAATGATAAATAGCACCGGCAGAAATACAAATTAGTGCAACCCTTCAAGAGGGTAATTGTCAGTATTTATTAAAATTTAAAATATAATATATATATACTATATAATGCCCTTTACTTTTATTTGAAGAAATTCATACACCATATGTGTTAGAGAAAAAATATACACATGTATACTTACATGAAAGTTTAGTACAATGCTGTTTTGTGGTAGCAGAAAACTAAAAGCAATGTAAATGACCTTGCATAAAAATGATTAAATCAGTCATGGAATAACCATTTAAATCATGTCTTAGCTTTTATTAGTGAAAATCAGGTTGCAAAATAGTATCTATTACATAATCACATTTGCTTTTAAAAGGTTAAGCATATGTGGATGAAAAATTGTGGAAATCTTGAAAAATATTAACAGTAATTATCTCTAGAAGTAGCACACAATATAGGGAATTGAGAAAGATTTCCTTCTTTTTTTTATTGTTTTATTATTCATATGTGCATACAAGGCTTGGGTCATTTCTCCCCCCTGCCCCCACCCCCTCCCTTACCACCCACTCCGCCCCCTCCCTCTCCCCCTCACCCCCTCAACACCCAGCAGAAACTATTTTGCCCTTATCTCTAATTTTGTTGTAGAGAAAGCAATAATAGGAAGGAACAAGGGTTTTTGCTGGTTGAGATAAGGATAGCTATACAGTGAGTTGACTCACATTGATTTCCTGTGTGTGGGTGTTACCTTCTAGGTTAATTCTTTTTGATCTAACCTTTTCTCTAGTTCTTGGTCCCCTTTTCCATTGGCCTCAGTTGCTTTTAAGGTATCTGCTTTAGTTTCTCTGCGTTAAGGGCAACAAATGCTAGATAGTTTTTTAGGTGTCTTACCTATCCTCACCCTTCCCTTGTGTGCTCTCGCTTTTATCATGTGCTCATTGTCCAATCCCCTTGTTGTGTGTGCCCTTGATCTAATGTCCGCATATGAGGGAGAACATACGATTTGTGGTCTTTTGGGCCAGGCTAACCTCACTCACAATGATGTTCTCCAATTCCATCCATTTACCAGTGAATGATAACATTTCGTTCTTGATGGCTGCATAAAATTCCATTGTGTATAGATACCACATTTTCTTAATCCATTCGTCAGTGGTGGGGCATCTTGGTTGTTTCCATAACTTGGCTATTGTGAGTAGTGCCGCAATAAACATGGGTGTGCAGGTGCCTCTGGAGTAACCTGTGTCACAGTCTTTTGGGTATATCCCCAAGAGTGGTATTGCTGGATCACATGGTAGATCAATGTTTAGCTTTTTAAGTAGCCTCCAAATTTTTTCCCAGAGTGGTTGTACTAGTCTACATTCCAACCAACAGTGTAAGAGGGTTCCTTTTTCCCCGCATCCTCTCCAACACCTGTTGTTCGTGGTGTTGCTAATGATGGCTATTCTAACAGGGGTGAGGTGGAATCTTAGTGTGGTTTTAATTTGCATTTCCTTTATTGCTAGAGATGGTGAGCATTTTTTCATGTGTTTTTTGACCATTTGAATTTCTTCTTTTGAGAAAGTTCTGTTTAGTTCACTTGCCCATTTCTTTATTGGTTCATCAGTTTTGGGAGAATTTAGTTTTTTAAGTTCCCTATATATTCTGGTTATCAGTCCTTTGTCTGATGTATAGCTGGCAAATATTTTCTCCCACTCTGTGGGTGTTCTCTTCAGTTCAGAGACCATTTCTTTTGATGAACAGAAGCTTTTTAGTTTTATGAGGTCCCATTTATCTATGCTATCTCTTAGTTGCTGTGCTGCTGGGGTTTCGTTGAGAAAGTTCTTGCCTATACCTACTAACTCCAGAGTATTTCCTACTCTTTCCTGTATCAACTTTAGAGTTTGTGGTCTGACATTAAGATCCTTGATCCATTTTGAGTTAATCTTGGTATAGGGTGATATACATGGATCTAGTTTCAGTTTTTTGCAGACTGCTAACCAGTTTTCCCAGCAGTTTTTGTTGAAGAGGCTGCTATTTCTCCATCGTATATTTTTAGCTCCTTTGTCAAAGACAAGTTGGTTATAGTTGTGTGGCTTCATATCTGGGTCCTCTATGCTGTTCCACTGGTCTTCATGTCTGTTTTTGTGCCAGTACCATGCTGTTTTTATTGTTATTGCTTTGTAATATAGTTTGAAGTCAGGTATTGTGATACCTCCTGCATTGTTCTTTTGACTGAGTATTGCCTTGGCTATTCGTGGCCTCTTGTGTTTCCATATAAATTTAACAGTAGATTTTTCAATCTCTTTAATGAATGTCATTGAATTTTTGATGGGAATTGCATTAAACATGTAGATTACTTTTGGGAGTATCAACATTTTTACTATGTTGATTCTACCATTCCATGAGCATGGCAGATCTCTCCACTTTCTATAGTCTTCCTCAATCTCTTTCTTCAGAAGTGTATAGTTTTCCTTGTAGAGGTCATTCACATCTTTTGTTAGGTTTACACCTAGGTATTTGATTTTTTTGAGGCTATTGTAAATGGAATTGTTTTCATATATTCTTTTTCCGTTTGCGCATTGTTAGTGTATTGAAATGCTAATGATTTTTCTATGTTGATTTGATATCCTACTACCTTGCTATAGCTATTGATGATGTCTAGAAGCTTCTGAGTAGAGTTTTTTGGGTCTTTAAGGTATAGGATCATGTCGTCTGCAAATAGGGATATTTTGACAGTTTCTTTACCTATTTGTATTCCTTTTATTCCTTCTTCTTGCCTAATTGATCTGGCTAGGGATTCCAGTACTATGTTGAATAGTAGTGGAGATAGTGGGCATCCTTGTCTGGTTCCTGATTTTAGAGGGAATGGTTTCAGTTGAGAAAGATTTCTTTTTATTTTTATCCTTTTCTGCAGCTCTTAACTTTAACCACAAGCAGGAATAATTTTAAATGACTACTTATTTTTTAAAAAATAGTTCATATCTTTGTCAGTAAACCTAGATTGATTCTTCTGAAGAACTGCATCTAATTGCAGAATATTGGGAGGCTGAGGCAGAAGATCATATAGTAAAACCCTGTGTCTTAAAAATTAAAAAAAATAAGCATAATTTTTCCACTTAAGTTTTCAAATAGTTCACCTTTTTTTTGTGCTACTGACTGGGATTGGATTTAGGGCCTTGCACCTGCTAAGCAGGCACTCTACCACTTGAGCTATACCGAAAGCCCTTTTCACATTTTTCTTTTTTTGCAGGGGGGAGGATGGATTCTTGCTTTATGCCTTGGTCAGCCTGGACTGTGGTCCTCCTACTTGTACTGAGGATGACAGTGTATGCTACCACATCCAGCCATTAGTTGAGATGGGGTCTCGTGAACTTTTTGCTCATTTTGGCTTCAAACCACAATCCTCCTACTCTCTACCTCCTGAGTAGCTGGGATTGCAGACTTGAGTCACATGCTCGGGCTTAAACAGATTTCTATTAGAAGAGAGAACAAATACTTCTCAGTGCCTTTGAAAGTCCTGAGAACTAATAAAACATAATTGGTAGAAAACAATTTGAAGTGGATTAGTACTGGATAATACCCCCCAGATGTTATTGTACTTCTAGACATTAGAGAGTCTGTTGGTTATTTGTACAGCTGAATTTACCATAATTTTTAGAGAAATTTGGTGTGTCCACTAACCCAAAACTTGGTAATGAATTAGCTTGATAGAAACATGTTAATTGAGGTTGAAGACAGAACTAGCTACGGTTGTGAGAAATATATGAAAACATTACTTTTTTTTGGTCTGGGGAATCCTAATAAAAATTTTAAGATGATGAACATTTTTCTAAAGATCTTTTTATGGAATTATTAAAAAGCAGATGTGCTGAATATGTATTGTAGCATTTTGTGTACATAACATATTCTGTATTTAATTAATACTGAGCGGATTAGGAATTGCAAGGATAAGTCATAGCACTGTTACAAGAAAGCTGTATAAACCCTCTGACTTTCTTTTCTATTGTTAATAGAATTCTTTTCTCCCCCTTAACCTCCCATTTGTGCTGTCTCTTGCCTTCCCTCTAAAAGATGAAAGCTAAAGGAACAACCAGGACATGAGGCTGAAGGGCATTCTCATCACGTAGATTAAGCAATGCATGTGACCATCACATAAAATGACAGTCTTGCAGAGAAGAACACAAGGAAAACTGGAATTTATTAACAGCATAATTTTGTATTTTTACCTCTTTTCTGTCTTGTTTCTTATCTGTTAAAATACTCTCTTTCCACCAAATGCAAATCCTACCAAAGCAGAGGCATTATCATCACTAGTGTATTCAGTTGTCATCCCCACCTTCTCTAAGCACAAATGATAAGGATGCCCATCTTTTTTGTGCTGTGGGTCCACAGTGCACCTTTAGGTTGAGAGCACTCAGAGGATGAAGATCAGGCTGATAAACATTCTAAGTTACAAATACATAATTCCTAGTAAATTCTGAAGCTAAAGAGTTTGTTCTTAAGAAAATATTCTAACTCCAGGCATGTTTTCTGCAGGCTGGAGCTTAAAACCTCTAAAAATACTATATTTTGTGATTATAAGTGTAGCACGTTTATGATACAGTATCTTCATCATACAGAATATATGATATGTAGTAATTTTGTGATGCAAAGGCAGTATTTTGGAATTTCCTGATTTGGTAGGCACGGATGACTAAAATTAGAAGTTTTTCAGAAGAACAAACTCTCCTCAGTGCTATGGTTTTCTGCTTATTATAGATTTGTAGTTTAAAATCCTGTATCAGCACTATAGAGAGATGTATCAGAATGTTCACACCATTTTTCTTCCTGTGGTCTCCAGGCTCATCCTCTGAGCTGAGCAGGGCTGCCTGCTGGCTCACTGCAAGCACCTCCTCCCAGTTCATTTATTTCTGTCACCTTCTTTATGGAGACATGCAGTTGCTTTGTTCATTAATACCTTGTTTTATGCCTCATTTCAGTGGGTATTTTTTCTTTTCTTTTTTTAATTTTTGGCAGAACTTGTGTTTGAATTCAGGGCCTGGTGCTTCCTAAGCTCTACTTACTTGAGCTATGTCCCCAGCACTTTTTCGTTTCTTAAATTATTTTTTCTAATAGTGCCTCATGTTTTTTCTCTGGGCCAACCTGGACTATAATCTCTGCCTCCTAAGTAGCTGGCATTATAGGTGTGACACACCATGCCCAGCCTGCTTTTCTATTTTCCTTGATTGGTGTTTCTGTAAACCTTCCCATTGTTTCAAAATAATGTCCTGGAAGACCTTGTAGTTGTTTAGGAAGTGTACAACCTTAGGAGTATAGATTCCATAGTAATGGTGATTTTCAAATGACTCCAAAGCCCACCTGTACTAAAGCCCCAAGGGAGCATATTAAAATCACAAGTTCTACACTTTATTCCAAATCTCAAGTCTCCCTGCGGCAAAACCTGGGAACTGGCGTTTCACTAGCACTTCGGATAGTTTTTAGACCCACTGTAGGTTGCAACTTACTCTCCTAGAATGAGGACGTTTGTATTGGAAATGTGATGCTTGTCCTTTTATTACTTATTAGACTCCAACTTAGAGTTTTCACCCTGCGGGTTTTTTTTTTTATAAGATGGTTTAGTTACATTGACAGACTATCATTGGAAACAAGGCATACTTCGAAGTTCATGAAAATTATAAACAAATAATAAATCCATTTCCCATAACTAACCATTAGATTTTGGTCCTCTTGCTTTGGGTAAAGCCAGCTCTCATTGTGGAACTTAATGGCAAACACTGAAGGAATCTATTTGACTGGGAAGTAAAATCACATCAGACCATTTTTAGAATAACAAAAGAACTTTTTTGAGGACAGTAGAAAAATAATAACTAGAAATATATTTGATTGACAGATATTTTGTGACTTACAGTTCTCCCAGCCCATGTTCAGTAATATTTTGAGTACTTTACGAATCATAGCACCCAGTAACATCTGGTCCTGTGCTAACTGCTTCATAGGGCATCTCAGGCTTGGGGGTCCTTAGCATATGAAATCTTAAATGTGGTGTAAAAGGTAATGTCAAGAATGAGCTTGAAGAGCTAAATGGATCTGTGTCATTTATGACAGAAATACTAAGTATTACCATGCATGCAGAAGAACAGAGCAAAGAAAGGGGGTAAAAATTCTTTAAGTGTTGCACCTTTGTTGGGAATATTTGGGAAGGGCTCATGGAGCACCCGGAGTTTCCAGAAGTCGTTAATGGGTAGAGAGTGGTAACTGGGAAGTCTTAGGAGCATACTAAAAGCCTTGGGGCTATAGTGTGAGGTCATAGAAGCATCACAGTATGAGAGCATGACATGGTGTGAGTGGACGGCTCCAGGAGAGACATCAATGAGCCTGGGAGGAATTGTCCAGTAACCCACTCAGAACACAAGCAGGGCCTGGGCTGGGGAACTTTTGTGTGCTTATTGGGTATAGGGAAGAAATATAAATAAGGTCTCAGAAAAGAAATACCCAGATTTGGTAAGTTATAGCATTTAAAGGCCAAAAGAAATGAGCAGGGTAAATAAGTTAAAGGAAGATCATGTGGGGAGAATAAGTGTAGAAAAGGAGAAAAGAATGTTGTTCATGTTTATATTGATAAATCAGAATTAAAGATAATATTAATGAAACACAGGGCTTATGTATAAATCAGGTTTCTGTCACTGTAACAATACACAGGAGAAGAATGGATTTAACGGAGAAAAGGTTTATTTTAGCTGACAGTTTTAGAGGTTTCCATCCATGGTTGGTTGGCCCAGTTGCTTTTAGGCTTGTGACAAGGGAGCACATCATGGTGGGGAGTGCATGGATAATTAGAGCTACCCACCTCATAGCAGCCAGGAAGCAAAGAAAGAGCTCACGTTTATAACAAAGTCCCTCCCCTCAAGTCCATTATGCTGTTAACCCATAAATGGATTAATCCATTGATTAACAAGATCAGAGCCCTCATGACCCAATCACCTCCCAAAGGCCCCACCTCTGAACATTGCTATATGCAATGAGCTTCAGGAGACATTTAAAATCCAATCTATAGCATGTAATGAAGCTAAACAGCGCTTCAAGGATATATGTAGACAAGGCAGAAAATCAGCATCTGTGAGTTAACATCTGGTTGACCCTCTTCTTCTGCTAGAGAGGCCTTAAGTAGATGGCACAGGACTTAAAATAAAAAAAAAAAATGACACAGTGCTAAAGAAGTTCCATCCAAGTCCTGGGCTAAGGAGATAGAGAATTAGATAACACACAGTAAATACATTCAGGCATTGAGTACATCAAAAATTTCCTTAAGCAAGAAGAGAATTTTCAGCAGCAGAGCAACCCACTTACTAAAACAACATTCACTACAACAAACCTTTCCCGTAAAATAAAAATATGTTGACTCGTCCCTTGACATTTCTTATGATGGGATTTCACCTGGAACTACAAAGCAGAAAGAACAAAGAAAATGGGAATGATGTCCATAGTGGTGGTGTGTGAGCTATCCAGAAACTCATAGCAATAAATCTTAGTCAATTCCAGACCTACCTGATAGAAGATTGTCCCTATCATTCACTTTTTGTCTTTTTCCAGAGGCTTATCTGGGATCCTGAGAAAGGGAGGAAGTTTGGTCAATTTCCTTCCTAGTTAGAAGTGCCAATAAAGGATTTGATTGAGAACAAGATTAGAAAGCTGATGAAGTTTCAGACTTATCTATGGATATTATTTAACAAAGACTTCCTTGTTTTTCATTAGTGATCAAAAGTTGCCTGGGTGTTAATTCTTGTAGTGGAGGCAGTTCTAGCTATCAATTAGAATCCTAAGGAAGCTTTCTAAGGTTTTATTCTGATTTTCTTTCACTATTCTTACAGGTGGTGCTTGGCACTTTTCATTTAATGTGAAATTTTATCCACCAGACCCTTCCCAGCTATCTGAAGATATTACCAGGTATTTGAAAACGTTGGCTATGAAAACGCCTATTGGGAGAACTGTGCATCTCTTAGGTCCAGAGAAAAGCATGCATACATCTGGTAGCCTTACAACCCACCATGCTCAATGGCAGACAACAGGCAACTGAATTAGAACAAACATCTGATGAGAAGAGTTGCCAAATCCTATCTGTTCACAGTTGACTCTTTGGTGCTAGGCTGATATTTCCGTGTGCCTGACCCTCTTGGAAAAGCATGCAGAATTGAGATACTGTCACCAACCCACCACAGCCAAATTGGATGGGATTCAACCCTAAATGATATAGCAACTCTGAGTGTTCCTACTTTAAAACTTAGACTAAAAATGTCTTTGGACACTTATGCTTTGTGTATAACCAGTATGATAGTTCACAGCTGTTTAAAAAAAACTCACATCACACATAGATACGTAAAAGCACAAATAAATTTAGAAGTTTATTTTCTTATGCCCTGTGTATACAGGGAAAATGAGTCACTTGTTTCCTGGAAAGAAGATGTTAAGAAAATAATCTAACTAACATACAGAATATTTCAGTTTGGTGACTGAGCTTAGTGTGTGAAAAGGGATTCCCTTTATAAAGCTATACTGGGTGACTTAGTCTGTCATTCTGCTGTCATGAAATGCCAGAGACTGGGTGGTTTATAAACAATAGGAATTTACCTCTCACAGTTCTGAAGACTGAAAGTTCAAGATCAGAGTGCCAGGAAGGTCATAGTCTGGTGAGAGTCTGCTTCCAGTTTGCAGACAACTGAAGACTAGGGTCCTCACATGGTGGGAGGTGCCCTCTTTTATAAGGGCACTAATACCATTCACCAAGGCTCCACCCTCATGAACTGATCATCTCCCCCAAACCCTACCTCCTAATCATATCATCTTGGAGCTAGCCTTTCAACATGGAGCTGAGGGATGGGGGCAGGGATACAAACATTCAGTCTGTCATTCTTGGTTTGCTGCATATTCTTCTGAACGCCTCTGCATTCTGCTTTAGAACTCCTGACTCTCACTCTGTTTAGTAGTAAATTTATGACTAGTCAAAACAACTTTTTTCCTATGTGGGTAGAACTTTCTGTGTAAGGCCCCCCTCCTCTTTGGAGGCTTTTCATAAAAGAGAAATTAATCAAAATAGCTTCAGTCCATTGCTATGATGAAAAATAATGTCACTAGGCTTAATAGGAGAAGGGTAACAATTCGTTCCAGAGGATTTCTTTTATATTTACACTAAATCAAAGAAAATGTATGATTTCTTATATAAAGATACTTTTTAATCAATAATGATGTACTGTTTGTTATGACTAATTTATGGTTGTGGAGTCTAAATATACCTGGATTTTAAGATGTAGTACATGGTTCCTTTATGTATACTTCTGTAATGTTTACAGGGCCTATTAAATGCTTCAGAATTTTTATATCTGAGTTGCATGAATTTTAGTTGTATCAGTAGTCTAACGTCACACTTACAGAGAACCTTAAGACTTAACAACAGTCCTCTGTTTCAGTGGGTTAACCGCTCATCTCTTCTGCAGAAGATAAATGATAGGTATTACTAAAACTCACTAATTTTGAAACTTAATCTTCGGATCTTTTGCAGTTGTTATATCTGTAAATCTTGAGTACACAAAAAAAGCAGAGAAGAAAAACCTGCTATTATTGGAGGTATTTTTATGATAGTATGGCAAAATTATGTGAAAAATATCTTGTATTCTTCCAGTTTAAAACTATTTGCCTATAGTGACAAGACTCTTAGATTTCAAGGTTCTTCAAAGTTATTATTAAGGTCAGTAAGAGTCTAGGAAGATATCTCAATAAAAAGAAGTAACTTAAAGCAGGAGAAATTATTTGTGATCATAAAGAAAGCATCATTCTATCAGAAATGTAGGAATTTGAGAGCAGACTTCAGGAAGCATAGCTGGTGAGTTATCTGATGTCTGTCTTGGTCATACCACAAGAACTGTGATCTCAGTATTAAAATGAGCCCTCCTAAAGGCTGATTGGGGCTCAGTAATTAAATTTAAGAGCACCACTTTCAACATTACAATTCCTCCACTCAAGGGCTTCTGGGAATGTGCTGGGGACTGTTCACTTGACTTTAAAAGTAATTTTAAAAGATGTTGGGAAAATGTATCTGTATGTTTTTTACTTTATCAGTAAAGCCCTGTTTTATTATAAACATTGCCTTCTACATATCCTTAAATAATTTTTGTAGCCTAGTAGTGTTCCCTTATATCTGGATCAATTATAGGTGAAATAATTACCATAATATATAAATGCTAAAAATGTGTCCTGTGGCAATTATTGGGCAAGGGGAAATTGTTTACCCACAGTTTATATTGAATGACTCCCTCTTTATATGTCCTGATGCTGGCCCTGTGTTTTGTCCTTTTGGCTTCTGAAAGGTACTACCTCTGCTTACAATTGCGAGATGACATCGTGTCCGGAAGGCTGCCCTGCTCTTTTGTAACCCTTGCCCTGCTGGGCTCCTACACAGTCCAGTCAGAACTTGGAGACTATGACCCTGATGAGTGTGGGAGCGATTACATTAGTGAGTTTCGCTTTGCACCAAACCACACTAAAGAACTGGAAGATAAAGTGATCGAGCTGCATAAGAGCCACAGGTTAGTGGGGAATCCCCGAGAGCATGCAGTTAGTTTGTGCCTTGCTGGGCCAGTGTCAATTCTACCACCTGGCTCTTCTCAGTTCAGGGTTAGTAGATTAAGGACGGGACTTTAGCAGAGTGAGAGTCTGTGGTGAAGTTCTGGGGTTCCTCAGTGCCCCCAGGTGTCCATTTGTAACATTTCCCTTCAAAAGCCATTTGTTTTATTATTATTCTCCCATATAAAGGTTGAGTGTCCTTTACCCAGAATGGTTGGGACCAGGAGTGTTTGAGAATATTTCAAATACTGTAATATTTACGTATACATAATGGGAAAGGACCCAAGTCTAAACACAAAATTCATTTATATTTTATATATACCACATAAACACAGCCTGAAGTTATTTTTATATAATAGCTTTTAATGTACCTGCATTTTCACTGTGACCCCTCACATGAAATCCAGTGTGTGATTTTCCACTTGTGGTATCATATCAGCACTCAAAACAATTCAGAATTTGGAGCACTTCAGATTTTGCATTTTCGAATTTGGGATACTCAGCTTCTGTCTGCAGGTGTCTCGAGGGAGACTTTTTTTTAATAAGATGGCAGGGAGCTAAATGGGAAATTTTGTAGCTTGACCAGATAAAGGAAAAGTAGCTAACTGATATGAAGAAGGAAAATCAAATACTTTTTAATCTTAAGTCTAATTGATAAAAAATGAAAAGCAGCCTTGTAACTTTTTTTTTTTTTTGTAATCAGAGGAATGACGCCAGCAGAAGCAGAAATGCATTTCTTGGAAAATGCCAAAAAGCTCTCCATGTACGGAGTGGATTTACATCATGCTAAGGTATGTAATTTTAAATCCCAGACTCTTTCATTAAATTCAACGTTTTTGGTTGTCAGAAGCTGGTAATTTGTATTTCAGTTAATGTAAAATGTAAGCTTTGGAGACTCAAATCTGTGTTCACCTTTTAAATCCTAGTGCATGATTAAAACAAATGTAGCACTCATATTTCCTGGGGAGTTTGCTCTTCATGGCTCAACTTGCATTGCTCATGGATGGTCAAGCCTTCTGTAAGCCCATGGTAGGCAAAGTGTCTGATTATCTATTGATTCAACTGGCTTATCTTGACAAAACAAGCTCTTTGCTCATCCTGTCTTCACTGTCACAATGGTATCTCCCACTTTGTGTCAACATGTGCCCTCTGCTCCTGCCAGACCCTGTCTAAGCCTGAGTATATGCATCTTTGTTTGGACTGTCCTGCTCCTTCCTGTCTGGCTGGCTAAACTTGGCCATTTGTCCAAGACCAAAGTGTCACATCTGTTATGTGCCAGGTACCACTTATGTGCCCCTTCTGGAACTCCTCTAGTTCATGTTAAATTTAAAGAATTTTATCTCTAAAAGTTTAAATATCCTGACATATAACCAGATCTTTGAGATAAGATTGTTTTTAAAATCCAGCTATGATTAGCCATCTGGGGTAATCTTAGATTACCTCATTGACTAGAGACATTGTTAGAGGTTCATCCTGTGAATAAAGAAATGGGAATTGGGAAGTTGGTTGTGAGGATAGATACAGCAGCTTTGACTCCATGCCATGCTTTTTCTACAATCTCTATTTCTCAGCAGTGAGAGAATAAATGTGTAGACTACCAATCTTTTACATAGTTGTCAGCAGAAGTACTGTGGCAGTACAGAGGAATCTTGTATGAAATGTTTTATTCGCAAAATGTAAAATCTGTTAAGATTCCAAAGATACTTCATCTGTGTTCAAGAGGTAATGGTTTAAATTTCAGGGGCAGTTTGTTCTAATTGGGGCTGACAAGATAATATCACTCCTGTATAGAGATGTGGATTTGACCTCTGATAGACAGTCACCAATTTTACGGTCTGGGACTCACAAGAATGTGCCATGACAGGCTTCCTGGCAAGCCAGTGTCTTACATGGTCAGATTGAGACTTAGAATTGAATAGAACTTCAGCTGGCTGTGTTGAAGCAAACATCTCAGCTACTGTGATGACCAGAAGGGAAATCTAGATCTATAAATTCTATTGGTGCTGGAAGTGGGGCTGCTCATTGGTTGACCTTTGGGGAGCAAACCAAATGGTGGCTATCAAACCAAGGTAAGTTTGGTTAGTCATGTCTTGACATCAAAAAGAATGAACACTTCTAAGGCCAGAGCATGTACAAGGTCTCTGAGACTTGGATAGGTCTTTTACTAGGGATGAGCATTAAACACCAGGCTCTTTGACATCTGAGTGTAATTAAGGCAACAGGTGTAGGTCCGTTTACTTGCCAGTTCCTTATGACACTTTTTTACTTATCTTGCTCTCAGGTAACGATGATGTTTTTCTATTTTATGCTAGTTATGTTAGGTAAGGATTTCAAAATCAGGATAGACATTAAGACATGTTTGGTTTTTTTTTTCACTTTCTCTTGAGTTTTTCACTAGGTGACTACAGGATAAGAAAGTAAGATGGAAATGAAATTAGCATGAGAATTTGGGTAAATGTAAAGCTATTTTTAGTTAAATCACATACTGATTCATTTACTGCCTATAAATAAATAAATAAATAAATAGAAGATTAGAGCATACATTTAGGGAAGTGCAATTCAGGATGTATCAGTGTTTCTCTCAGTAAAAATAAAAATCACTTAACATTGCTATAACTATTGAATTAAAATAGATGGCTGCTTTTTCATTCAATAATATGATTTGAAATTATGCCAATTAAAAAGAGAGAGGATTACGGAAGTAGAATGCAGCCTGTACAGGACTTTATCTGAATACTAAGTATAATAAATGATTCAGTTATAGACCCCATTTTCTCATGCAGCCATGCTCGATCATTTCAGGGAGGAAATTTACTGAATTAAATTAGAGCCATTTTCCGGTTGTAAGTGAGCTGCTTCTCTTCAATGGATGATATAAAAGTCTTTGAGCTTCATGATCCATTTAAACATTCTGATTTGTGGACGTGGACTCCACAGTGCCACATAAAGAATAAATAAATACCCCTAATAGGTGAAGGTCCTGCATTTTGGAACACCTGCCCTAAATGCTTTGTTTCTTTCTTAGGAAACCTGTCTCTGCTGGTTTATCACTAATGTCTGTCTTGGTGGGCTTTGTCAGTCATTTATTTCATATGGGTGTATCAGCTGTCCCATGGTCAAGCAACACTGAAGGATAGCAGTATTTGAACACACTGAAGGATAGCAGTGTTTGAACACGGATTGTAAATGAAGGGACCATTATGGCCCTTCATTTTCATTGTGATGTGCTAAAACTGTCCAGGTGTACCTTCAGTGCCTCTTGCTAATAGGAATATGAAAGTTATCTATTGTTAGTGAAATATACCTGTTCCTAAGAAAGACAGTTGCAGCTTTTAATACCAAAGATTTTATCAGACTAGCTTAATACTGTTAACTGTGGCAGACAATTTAATATGAAATGTCATTTCTTTGGGCTGAAGTGATGGCACATGACTGTAATCCAGTCACTAAGGAGGTCAAGATCAAGAGGATCAAAGTTTGAGACCAGCTCCATGCAAAAAGTTAACAAGACCCTAACTGCAAAATAACTAAAGCAAGAAGGGCTGGAGGCATGGCTACCAAGCACAAAGCCCCAAGTTCAAACCCCAGTACCACAAAAAATAAAATTTAAAATTTTTTTAAAATTGTATTGCTATGCAGTTTTATGAAATAGAGATTTCATTCCATATAGAAACCCACATATTCCTGCCATTTGCACTTTTCATTCACTTTTTCTTTCAACAAACATTTATCACTTTGGCCAGCCCTGTGTTGGCCACAAGGTTAGAAATGTAAAAGATTCTGCTCTCAACCAGTACCTAAGGCAAGAAAGGTGAGTTTATTTCAGCAGTGTTTTCTAAGGAACACGCTAGCAGTGACAGAGAAGCATGTATTGAAGGCACAAGGAGAGGAGATGTCTGCACCTTCCTCATCTTCCTCATGAAGGATACCTTCTTGTTAGGAGTCTGTGACACTAGTGAGCAATTTAAAAATAGAAAATAAATGAGAAGGGTTTTTAAGTGTCCTTTCCTTCTGTCGGCTGAAGGCATATTTCCCACACTTATATTCTGTATCCAAAAGTGAATCAAAGAGTAGTTACTCAAGCCATCTTTTCTCATATCTGCCTTTCTGTTCATGGCATGAGGTGGTCACCTGAGTGGTCACGTGAACAGTTTGGCTGGTTCTCAAAGATCAATGGTACCAGCAACTTGTGAACATCATGTGATAGCTCTTTAAATAGTCCTTTCAATATGAAGCCCTGGATAAATGGTGGTCGTCTCCAGAATTGAGCTCATCCAATTGTATTATATTGTAATGCCCTGCCATCAAATAGTTTGACTCCTATACAGTAATTCAGTATTGAATGGAGTGATACTTTTCTAAGGGAAGATAGTGCATTTTAAATCAGGTATATTCTGCTGCTAAACTTAATGTTTCCTATCAGAGATTGACCAAAATAGTTTTGAATCTGGAAATATCTGTCTTGTGCTGGTGCTAAAGGGGATTTAGGAAGTAGTTCTCCCCCATATAAACAAGTGCGAATGTCCTGTCTAGATTCTTCTGACCTTCTCCACATTGCTGGTGCCTCACAGTGACTCCAAGCCAGGCCTGCTGATTATGAGACAAAGGCCTGAGCATTGCTTCCTAGGTATGACCAGCCTGGAACCCATTCTGTCCCCTGCTTCAAACAAGCACCGTGTCTCTGCACCTCACACACAGTCCTGCCTCCAACTTAACTCTTTACCCCTCTCCAGGCCCCTGATATTAATGGATACAACATTTTGTATGTCTTCACTTTGATGTAACATCTGATGACTTCTGGACATCACAGATACCTTGGGAGTTACCCAAAGATGAAACATACAAGTGGCAAAAGTAACAATTATAGTATAGTCTCTTTTTTGTTAAAAAAAAAAAAAGTACACATAAAATGTGTGTGTATGTGAACCACACAGGTAAAGTGTGACTATCACTGGGAAGTGTCTTGTGTTGTTGGGAGGTACATTCATACTTCAAAAAAGCTATTTTATGTTTAGCTGTTACTCTGGCAGTAATGGGATATAAAGAAAACTGAAGCTCTTTTTTTTAAGTAACAAAGCCCCAAATACTCAAAGGAGAAGACAGGGCTCCTCTTGTTTGTAAACATATCAGTTAAGAGTGGTACCTCTGGAACCAGGCAGCCGAGGAACTCCACACCTCAGTTTCCTCCTCTGTAAAATGGGAAGAATAATTGTGACTATTTCAACATGTCATAATGAAAATTAAAAGAGTTAACATACTGAGGCCAGACTCGGCAGTGCCTGACACTCAGTGAGAACTGTGGCCACTGTTATAGTTATTAACACAGTTTTAGTCTGCTTGGCCTTCTCTCTGTGCAGTATTTATTTATGAGAGAGCTCTGAGTGAGCAGATTTTATTCCAACAAATCTCCACAGTAAAAATATTCATCATTACAAAGCTATTACTCAATGGTAACATTTTTTAAACGGCTATGGCATTTTTCATATTTAAATTAGTCAATTATAGTTTCTGTCACGGGTTACATCTTGTCCCCAAGGAAATGGAAAGAAGTGAGAATACTGATCCATTGTTTCTTGCTGCTCTTTTCCAGGATTCAGAAGGAGTAGAAATTATGTTAGGAGTCTGTGCGAGTGGTCTGTTGATATATCGTGACCGACTGCGAATAAACAGATTTGCCTGGCCCAAGGTTCTAAAAATTTCATACAAACGGAACAACTTTTACATTAAGATCCGGCCAGGGGAGGTAAGGACACTTGTGTGTGCCTGTGCATTGGGAAGCAAGGGCCCTCACAGCAAGCAAAAATATAAATGAGCTGTTCACGCATTCTGAACCTGTGGGACATAGTGAATTATGGTCGAAATGCCTGAGAGAATTTGTTGTAGGTTTTTCCAGTAAACAGTAATAAATAAAATGCTCTCCTCTTTATTATGTTGTTGTAGTTTTTTTCTACAACTGCATACATTAATTGAAAGGTTTCTTTTAAAAAAGCATGTATTTTAATGTAGAATCAAGATTCATGAATACTTTTTCATATATTTCAAGCCGAGAAAGGTAGCTCTCTTCCCTTGTGTCCTGTCATCATAACTCCACTCCCTTTCTGCTTTTTCTGCAATTCTGCTTCCTAAAGTGGATGGCTCAGAGATAACGTGCTTCAAGGTGCAAAGAAGATTAGACCAAAGGATTCTGGGTGTGAATTATGTCAGTATTCCACATCTCAATATATTTCCAAGCTTTTTTTTTAATCAGAGAAGTTAATAATCAAATCAAATTTGTTAACTAATTCTTACTCCTCAAGCAACAGCCTCGACCAGCTTATACGTACATCTTCCTTGGTGGTTTGTCTACTTTATTTGCTAAAGAATAGTTAATAAATACCTCCACCTTCTAATTGGTGTGGTTAATACATTGGAGGTAGCCAGAACTCAGATTCTGTCTTATTTATGTCTGAATATTTTCTGGTAAAATATAGATACGATTAGCACCTATCTTAAAAACCTACCTCACCAATTGAGTTTCTTGTTGGAAATGCAATTTTTGAAAATCAATATAAATCAAACAGTCATGCTTAATGGATGATTTATTTTTTTTTTAATTTTTATTTTTTTATTATTCATATGTGCATACAATGCTTGGATCATTTCTCCCTCCTGCCCCCACCCCCTCCCTTACCACCCACTCCACCCCCTCCCTCTCCCCCCCACCCCCTCAATACCCAGCAGAAACTATTTTGCCCTTATCTCTAATTTTGTTGAAGAGAGAGTGTAAGCAATAATAGGAAGGAACAAGGGTTTTTGCTGGTTGAGATAAGGATAGCTATACAGGGCATTGACTCACATTGATTTCCTGTGCGTGTGTGTTACCTTCTAGGTTAATTCTTTTTGATCTAACCTTTTCTCTAGTTCCTGGTCCCCTTTTCCTATTGGCCTCAGTTGCTTTTAAGGTATCTGCTTTAGTTTCTCTGCATTGAGGGCAACAAATGCTAGCTAATTTTTTAGGTGTCTTACCTATCCTCACCCCTCCCTTGTGTGCTCTCGCTTTTATCATGTGCTCAAAGTCCAATCCCCTTGTTGTGTTTGCCCTTGTTCTAATGTCCGCATATGAGAGAGAACATGCGATTTTTGGTCTTTGGGCCAGGCTAACCTCACTCAGAATGATGTTCTCCAGTTCCATCCATTTACCAGCAAACGATAACATTTCGTTCTTCTTCATGGTTGCATAAAATTCCATTGTGTATAGATACCACATTTTCTTAATCCATTCGTCAGTGGTGGGGCATCTTGGTTGTTTCCATAACTTGGCTATTGTGAGTAGTGCCGCAATAAACATGGGTGTGCAGGTGCCTCTGGAGTAACCTGTGTCACAGTCTTTTGGGTATATCCCCAAGAGTGGTATTGCTGGATCACATGGTAGATCAATGTTTAGCTTTTTAAGTAGCCTCCAAATTTTTTCCCAGAGTGGTTGTACCAGTTTACATTCCCACCAGCATCTACGTATCTACGAGGATAATTTTAGACAAGAGAAGGGGAGTGGGGGAGCATTTCAGAAAAAAAACTGAAACTCCATCAGGACTGATTTTTTTCTAGCTTCACTTTATTACACCAATCAGCACTTTGCCTCCTTTCTTAGTATTGTTTTAAAACTTGCAATGAAGAAATAAAATCAGAGACCTAATGAGCCAGTGTCTTTAAAACATACCAAAGTGATACAATCAATTGTTTGGTAGGACATATCAGAGTAAGGGCAGATTTTCAGTGGGCAGACTTTGCAAGGTGAGATATTGAAAAGTGTCATAAACTGTACATTTTATTGAAGACTTTAAAAATGGAATAAATTGTCTAAAGAACAGGAAAGTTCAAGAAGAGGCCCTGAAATCAACGCATGGGATGACACCAACTATTTGAGAGAGGAGAAGACAGAAGAGAAACGTAGGAAAATCAAAAAAAAAGCCAGAGAAGTAAGAGACAGAGATTATCAGAGGACAGATGAGTTTTAGGAGAAAATGGTTAGCCATTGGTGCCTTGTGTTCCAGAGGGGCCACGTAGGATGGAAACTAAGAAAAGCCCATTGAATGGTAGTTGGGTCCCATTATGACAGATAAGAGTTCAGGAAGAGTTAGCAGTGTCTACTAGGGTATGTTGAGATGAAGACCAAACTGTTGGAGGTGGCAGGTAGTGACTTCTTTTTCACAAAGTTTAGCAGTAAGGTGTGAGGTGGGGGGTTTTGATTCTGGCAGAAGTAGGTTCAAAGACAGTTGGTCCCCCCTACCTTATTACCATATTTGTAGGTGGAGAAGAACAAGTGAGAAGAAATTATTGGTGGCACACAGGTTTTAAGAAGGTTGAAGAAAGCAGGTACAAAGCAGAGAGGCAAACATTCAGGAAGTCTAGGGGCCTCTCTTATCCTTATGCTAAGGAGGATAGCAGTAAGAGATTGTTCCAATAAATAAGCCGACATAGAGGTAGAGAGTAGAATGGTGGCTAACAGAAGCCTCCCCATGGAAGGGGGAGGTGAGAGAGTGAAGATGATTAAAGAATACAGGGGTGCACTGGATTGAAGGAATATATTTGAATCTTCTATAGCTCAGTAGGTTAATTATGGTTACCAACAATAAATCATATATTTCAGAATACCTACTGGAGAGGATTTTGAACATTCCCAACACAAAGAAATGATAAATATTTGACAGGTTGGATATGGCAGTTGCTCTGATCTGATTATGACACCGTGTCTATATGTGTTTAAATATCACACCGTACCTCAGAAATATGTACAACTATTACATGTCAACAAATTTTTTGAAATTAAAAAGAGAGAGAAAGAGAGATTCCTCCCCTCTGGCCTTAGCATTGTGTGTGGCACGTATTAGATGCTGGAAAAATAAGTGGATGATTATGTAGCCAAGAGCCACAGTATCCATGACTTGACTGGAAACTTTCAATAGTAGCAATTTTTACCACCACCACTACCCATGAATGTCCAGAGTGAATAAGAAATTGGGAAAGCAATTACAGTTGGAGCAACTTAAGATGTATTCCCCAATTCTCCCAGCCATTCACTGCAAACAAGAACTAGAGGTCAAGCATGATTGTAACTCACATACCATGCATATGACCCCTCATCTTGGTGCTTTCCATATAAATTACTTTTGTTATTTATTATATCAGGTCTGCTTGTTTTGTGCTCTTTGTCATGTCTGTATGTCTAAGGTGATTGCCCTCTGGTGGCCTGATGTATACTGTTTTCAGAAACTGAAAACTATGTACTTGAAATAATGTAAAATATGTTATGCAGAAAATCAGATCAGAATTTTCACCTTGAAAAATCAAATGGTTAACAAGTATCGTCTGAAAATGTACACCTGGAAGGCATAAAAATGTCTTCTTCCAATCTCTGATCTTATGTAAAGAGATGTTAGCATTTAACATTATAACTCATAGTGGAACACACAAGTGAAATCAGTAATATCCAACATCAAGTCATCAAATAGCTAGGAAATGTGCATGCTTCCTGGGCAAATACTAGAAGAAAATGTCATTTCTAAGTGTGATGTGGACTGCATTAATAAGTACTGTGTTCGTTTCTGTGCATTCTAATTGAAGTCATTATGTCATTTGAGAAACCATGAAAATATGACTTAAAAATGAGATGAAGATGAATTGATCTCTGGAGGGAGTCCAAATACGGTCCCTACTGTGTTTAGTTTATGTCCATAAACTTCATAATTGTGCAGAAGACATCTACTACATGCATAACATTATCTGTGTCTGCTGCATTGAAGGTGATAGATAACAAGGTGTTTTTTTTAGATGACTGAATGCATAGCATGAATTCTGCATGTAGCAATTGATTTGTTGAGTAAAGAAAACCTTATGGGTGACATCATGAGTGTAACTTATTTGCAGAGCTTCTGTTTTTTTGTAATTCCATACTTGACTTTACTCTGGTATTTTTTTTAATTCTAGTTTGAACAATTTGAAAGTACCATTGGTTTTAAGTTGCCAAATCATCGGGCTGCCAAGCGTTTATGGAAAGTGTGTGTGGAGCACCACACATTTTTCAGGTAGGTAGAGATCATTTGGGGTTTTTCCTAAGAAACAATCGGAATGATTAGAATCACTTATACTAAAAAAGGTTGGTGGGAAGAATATGAAGCCATACCCTTTCTATTCCCTTGATTTCATTTTCACTGTATTTCTTGAAATTCTAGAAGAACTTTGACTAAATGTGAAGGATTTTCTTTAATGTGTTTTATACTTATCTTCCTTTGCCCCTTTCTTTATTATTGTTAGTGCCTTTTCATTGTTTTTACAGAATGTCCTCTTCAAGTATCCAGTCCATTCCTTACTTGGTTTTTTATTTGTTTGTTTGTGCTGCTGGGATTTAAACCCAGAGCCTGGTGCATGCTAGGCAGGTACTCTACCACTAAGCTGCATTCCTAGCCCCTTCCTTGCAATTTCAATTATTTATTAATATCCTGGACTCCTTTACTCACCTATAGTATTAGGCCTATCAGAGTCATGCCTAAAAACAACATCAGCCTTCTTGACTAACAGTATGAGTCTAGTTGCTCTGTGGGCTCCTAGAGCATCCACTTGTATGAGTTGTTAAAGGTCATCTAGTCCCCCCAGGCCCAGTTTTGCATATATCTTCTCTATAGCATCCCTAGCTAATAAATACTTTGTGAACTGCTATTTTTTCTTACACAGTCAGATTCATTTAACTATAAGTTGTGTATTAAATTAAAAGCATTCTGAATATTTGCATTAATTTTTCTGGTGCTTTTCTTTAATATCTTAGATTATTGTTACCAGAAGCACCTCCAAAGAAATTCCTAACCTTGGGTTCCAAGTTCCGTTATAGTGGCAGAACGCAGGCACAAACAAGAAGAGCCAGTGCACTGATAGATCGTCCAGCGCCTTACTTTGAACGCTCGTCTAGTAAACGTTATACCATGTCTCGCAGCTTGGATGGAGGTAGGTATTGCTTACTGATTCTTAATTGCTAGCAGCTATCCAGAAATGTGTATGAAGCCTTCATGAGCTTTCAAAAACTGTAGATCTTCTTGAACATTGTGAAATGAAAAGCAGTTTGGATCAGAGCTGAATGGTAGATTTTAAGGTCCCCACCACCAAAAATGGCCTTTGTCAGTCTTTTTTATTGGTAGATTTATGTGAAATGACATAAATTAGGTACTTAGAAAATAAAGAGCCTAGCTTTCATAAGCCAGCAAAATGAATCTGGAGAAGATGCGTTTGTTCTAAATGTAGAATGAAATAGTAATCACATGCTCTGTGAGTAATTTGGATTTCCAGCAGATCATAAATGATGACTAGGTTTGTCTCGGCTGTTTGTTTCAGAAAGAAAACTGTAGGCAAAATTTATCTCTCTTACTAAAGTATTTTAGGAATAAAATGTGGCCTCTATCAGTCCGTTGATAATAGCTGGGAGAAGGATGAACTCACCAGATGGACTAGGAGAACATTGCTATGTGAATGTTCTCTCCTGCGAAGTCTAATGTATGAGTCAAATGAGTAAGTCAGGAACATTCTTACTCAGATGATCCTTGTAGGGACTAACATAATCGTGAGTTTTAAGGAGGATTTTGTTTGTTCTGACATTTGTGTGTTACTTTGTGTGCATAACACAAGGGTGTGCTTTCTGCTACGTGGCACACCAGCAATGGTGACACTTAAGACCTGAGTCATGGTGAGGCCTGTTTCTAATTTAGAACACCTGGTTAGTGGTTGTTTTATTGAAGCCCATCTTGTGCAAATAAAAAGAGAAGTTTCTGGTGTGCATGTATTATTTTAATAAATTAACATACATAAGAATAAATAAAAGTTGCAAGTGGCTGGGACCATTTCTTTCCCTCTGTTTTTTGCAGCTGTTCCCCAAAATACCTCAGTTTCCCTGCTCCTCTCTCCATAAATGGGCATGACGGGGGGATGAGGTACTTCTTGATGCCCCTCATTAAACAGACTGTATTTTCCTAATGGAATACTTTATAAACAGTTTATAGAAGAAGTCATCAGTGTATTAGCAGTGCTGTATCATGTATGTTACTATTGACATGGGAACAGAACTCATGTAAATGCATAGATCAATCCTGATTGAAGTGCAGACTCAGCTGTCTTCTGACCAAGTAATGGTTGGCAAATAATTTGACTTTTCAGGTCTCAGGTTTTAGTCATCTATAAAATGGGTTGTTGTAAAGAGTGTGTACGATCTGTGGGAAAGCAGTCTTGGTATAGGTTTAATTATAATTGACTCAATAAATATATTGGTAGTTATCCTTGCATGCTTTTGTGAGCTGGACTAGGACATTAATTACAATCAGCCTTCATACCTGAGAGTTCTGAATTTGCAGATTCCACCAACTGTGAATTGAAAATATTGTTTTAAAGAAATTATATCTAATACTGAATATGTACAGACTGTTTTCTTGTCAATATTTCCTAAATAGTACAGTATGACAACTATTTACATAGCATTCACATCATACTAGATGTTACAAGTCATCGAGACATGTCAGGTATCCAGGAGGATGTGCTAGGTTATGTGCAAACACCACCATTTTATATAAGGGGCTTGAGCATCCTGGGATTTCAGAAACATTCTGGCATGGATATGAGGAAGGTTTACTGTTCTGTCTTCTAAGATTTCCAGAATACCAAACTTACAGTCAAGCCTTGGAATAATATACGTAGCAGGACTGTTTTGAGTTGAAATATCCATGTTAACATTGAAGCTTTGCTCTGTCGCATTTACTCTTCAGAGAATCTCTGCTAGCTATTGTGTATTCACTAAGTCAGTGCTGGAGGATCACACATTTTTTTCTGAATACCACCCACTTTGTTCAGTGATGTGCACCCAAGGGAACATGTTTGTGATGAATGTTGTTTTCCTCATGACTTTTTTGCGTGATCATGACTGCTGAGAAGACAGAAGACAATTGTGAAATCTTGTACTAATACCATGCTGTCTCTTTCTCCTTTCCAAAAGTGATGTTAGTATGTGTTGTCTCACTCTTTTTGGTCCTGCCAATTCTAGTATGTTTTCTGCTGCTGCTTCTCTAGGTACCATGGCTGCATGTTAGGACATAAATTGCTTTTTGCAAGATGGCGTCTTATGGATAACTATGTGGCTGTTCCATTAAAACACTGCATCTCATGAGCTTTTTCATCAGTATAAAGAGGCATAAAATATCTTAGTGAAAACATTTAAGTAAGTTAGATCAGCTATTAAGATTTCAGAAAGCATCTTATTTCTGAATCTTTTGTTTACGTTTTTAAAGTTCCAGAAATACAAATGCAGGTTATAATTTGTCTGTGATCGAGCTACTTTGTATTTGAAAAGCAGTGTTTATAAGTTTCAGTAAATTTTCATGATATATAAAACTTAATTTTAAGATGTAATTATACATTTCTTTCACTAAGACATTTTGGTTGTGTCTCCCATCTCTTGTGTTTGCATGTTCTGCTTTTGCCTGGATTTCATTTAGCAACATAAGTCTTATTTTTCCAAAATATTAGAGATGTGAATGAATGTACATGCATATCATCATAGCAGTCTGCTTAAAATGCGCTAGAAATTAAAGCATTTCTACACTTGAGTTGAGAGGAATTGCCTTCTGAATTTTATAATCTCTGCCAAGATGGTTCATTTTCATTTTTACCTTAGGGGCTTTTACGTTGTAGTAGTGATAGACTTTCCAACATTAAATAATAATAATAACAAAAGCAATTTAATGCTCCTCGGTGAATGGCACTTCCAAAGACATGTTCAAAGTCAAGTGTATGAGAGCAATTGTCTACTGTACATATGCTGTGAATTGTTGAACTTGTCACTGAGTGTCTGGCTCTGGTGCCCAACCAATACCTCTGGTTGGAGAATGACCCACCTCACCTTTCACTCACTTCCATCCTCACACCCCCCCCTCACTAGAGAGCCTGAGAATGGGTGGGTGTTATTCTGGGCTTTAAGACAGGAGCATTTAAATCATTTTAAAACACTGCTCTAGGTGATACAGCAAAATAAGGCTATAGTGCAAAGGTGGAGGTGCATTGACATCTTTTCAAGACAATCCTGGTATTTTGTAGTGGTATTTTTTCCCCATTAATGGGACAGTGTGGTAATGTTGATCTGTCTTCTGATTTAACTATTTTAGATTTTATTTCTCCAATTGTATTTGCTTTTAGCATCAGTGAATGAAAACCATGAAATATACATGAAGGATTCTATGTCTGCTGCAGAGGTTGGTACTGGCCAGTACGCCACAACAAAGGGCATCTCTCAGACCAACTTGATCACCACTGTGACTCCAGAGAAAAAGGCTGAGGAAGAGCGGGACGAAGAAGAGGACAGACGGAGAAAGGCTGAGGAGGCCATACCTGTTGCGACAATCCGGCACGAGGGAAAGGTACAGCTCCCAGGCTGCCTCCTAGAGCTTGCTCTAGCTTTTAAGCCGGCTCGATGATTCTGAGGATGTAAACCAGGAATGTGTTAAGATGTAGGGGGATTCATATTTCAGCACTGGTCACATTCATGTCAGTTTTAGAATTATTATTCCTGTTTTAATATCTTTCCTCTGAAAGTTGCTTTCTTAACTTTTTGATAAGTTTTACTTTAACAGGGGATGTGCTAAAAAGACTTTCAACAGCTGTCCTGTTTGTCTCTCTTCAAAGTACTTTCAGTGGTGTAATATGCATGTCTGTTTGAGATTGCATTTCACAATTGTCACTAGAGCTATTTTCTTTGTTTCTGGCCCCATTCTCCTACCCAAGTGTGGTTTGGTTCTCTAGGTCTGCAGTAATCGCTTAACCATGCTTCTGACTACAAATACAGTCAGTGACTGTCGCCTTTGTGTTTATAGTAGATTTTCTTAGTCTTAATTACAATCTGCTCAGCAAGGGAGTAAGTGGCTATGTTTTGAAAAGGATATTAAGTAAGGCACAAGGTTGCAGTATAAGACAAAGATTAATTTGGTAGCCATTTCTCCAGGCATTTCATTGCATTTTGTGAAATCATTTCTTCCTAAACATTACTTTTAAACATCAGGTTTCTTTGTGCTGATCCAGCACTATAGAGCACTTTTTACCAAAGCAATTTAAAAGTCAACACATTGGGAGTTTTATGCATGATAGTAATGGAAAAACAGAATGGCTCCTGAATGTACAGGGTACAGAGAGATAGAGAGGAAATTAGAAAACAAACATGCTTCTGTAACTTACATATTTATCCTGAATCTGAGTATGTTTGATTCACTAGTGCTGTTTTGTATGTAGGCTCTTTTAACACAGATGTATGTGAGATAGACCCAACACATGGGACTCCATAGAAAAATACTTCTTCTTGCAAGAATTTAATAGTGACATCTTAATTAGGTAGATCAACAAATAAATAATTTCTGAGGCTAAGGATATGTAAAACACTTTCTTAGCATGTGTGAGGTCCAGAGTTTGATGCCCAGCACCACAAAGCAATACATAACTTTTGAAGTATGTAGACTATTCTAAAAGACCCAATTCATCATCTTTTTAAATTTCCTTTTTTTTTTTTAGGATAAGATCCTTTTTTTGCCAAACACAAAGATAAGTACAAGTAGGCAACAATGACAGGGCTGTTCAGATCACTTCTGCTGTTAAAATGTGCTTGGTTCTCAATATTTCTTTTACTCTCTTCCTGTAACATAAGTCAAGGGCAGGTCTGAACTGGGACATGAAAAGAAGGTAATACACCTGAACTGTGAATGTGTGGTTCTTATATTTGATTATTGCAAAGTCACCCATGTCACCAAATGATTCTCATGGATGTATAAATATAATTAAGTAGTACACATAACTCAGTGAATTTTAGTTTGCTCCCAAAGTAGGTCCAGGTAGTCTCCCTTTATTTGATTTTTAAAGACTTTGAGTGGTTTTTCACATGTAAAAACACGTAGCATTTAACTATGGTCACATTGTGTCATTGATGCCATGGGAAAATTAAAATGCAAAGAAAACTCCCACCTCGTAGGAGTCTCTGAGAAGCCAGAACTGTGAAGGCAGGGTGCCTTCATGGCTGAAGCCAAGAGCTAGTGCTTGATAGGTGTGCTGTCTTTATTTCTCCAGTGCAAAACTGTCTTTCAAAAAGTAATTAAATAAGCAGCATGGAAAAGTAAACCTTAATTTTATCCTTTCCAATCCTCGAAAGTAACATAGAGGGTACTTAACTTTTGATGTAAAACGAAAATATATAACTGGAAATAGTTCTGAAGAGGTTAGTGTCCCAGGTCACCTGAGGAGGAGCCGTGTTTCCCTGGCTCGTTATCCCCTGGGTACTGGGTAGCAGCTCCTTGCTAGAGGGGAGAACAGCTACATTAGGCCTATTTGAATGAGATTTGTGCAGGTTCTTGTTTAACATGCAATGTTTAATGTCAAATATGAGTGTGTGGGAAAAGACGTATTTGTCTCATAGTCACAAGAGACACTTTTAATGCTAATACATTCAGAATATACTTTTATTGTGCATTTTCTTTCCCTCATGCCTCAGATATAATTTTATTTGTGCATTTCTTTCTCTCTGTTGCCATATTTACCACTTCTCTCCATGTCAGGATTGGATAAACACCACTGAGCAGGCTGAGTAATTTCCATGCTATTAAGTCACTATGCAGTACACACGCACACACACGCGCACACATGCGCACACACGCACATGTGCATACACACATCCATAGACAGCAGCCAAAGTCTAACTATCTCCAAGCTCCTGTGCCCTGGCCTTGAATTTGCCAAGCTAAATATCTCTTATGCTCTACCCTAGGCTTGTTTGGGGTTTGCTTATTTCCTTCCACCCCTTCTTGTCAGCAGCCCCTCTACCACCTGCTGAGAAAACTGGCTTTGGGCATTGAGATGACCAAGCCCCAGAGACTGGAACCAGATTCCCTTGTCCCATGAAAGCTGGAGCTCTCTGGGGAGCACTTTTGTGTGAATACCCTCTTTATCATTGTATTAAGAACTCTCAAACCAAAGGTGTAAACATGCCCTTTATCTGCTAAGAGAAATCAGAAGGCTGGGGAATTGTATCTTTCTATTATTTATGAACCACGAAAACAGAAACTAAACACATAGAAACCATGTTACATGAAAACACATTCTTTTTTTGGTAGTTAGCTTGTTGAAACCACTTATGTGAGTCGAAGTGCCACTGACATGGTAGATAAAGGAGCCAAGTGGAAAAGTTTTCAAAGTCTTTTGTGGGAATCAGAGTTGCTGAAATGCTAACTGTTGAATCCCCCATTGTAACTGCTTATCAGATAGGAGTGGGGCCAGAAACTTCTTGGTTTGGAAACACACCTGTTTTGGGTGTAACTGACTAATGAAAAAATAATAATTTTTTTTAATAATCAAAATTTGAATCTGATTTCATTTTTTATTTTTAATCTAGCTGAACTATGGAGAGTGATCTGTTACCTGGAGATCAGGAGAAGGTTATTGAAAGTCTTAATTTCAACTTATTAAAGACTTACATTTGCTCTCAAACCCCTAAGGCTTTCTAGAGTGACCTGTACAGAATGAAGTTTTTTGATCATGGGAAATGTGTAGATGTGGGAATAGTCCACAGATACCTTTGTTCTGACTTTAAATCCCACTCTGTGTGTGAGGGCCCAGTGGGAGAACGGTAGCCTTCCATGGCAATGTTGGCATGCACCTTGACTACAATTCACAAGCAAACCTAGTGCTAAAATTCTTGTTTTACGACTTTATGTTGATACCCATAAGAAAATTAACTAATTGCAGTTTTCTTTTTGTCCTTTTGCACCTGTTTGCTGCTTCCTGTCTCTCTCTGTCTCTTTCACATCAGTCACCTGGGCATGGCACTGACTCATGTCCATTGTCACTCCCATCAGCACATTTTGACCCTGCATCTCCCACAGAGCTCCGTAGGAGGTATAAGGAGAATGAACGCAAACCACCAGGTTCCGAGCCACCTCCAGTTGAGCATTTGCATGGAGAGCCTGCCTTGGACACAGATGGCCAAGGGAAGGCTTACTTAGGAGATCAAGATGTAGCATTTAGCTACAGACAGCAGACTGGCAAAGGAACCACCCTGTTTTCCTTCTCCTTGCAGCTCCCTGACTCATTCCCCTCGCTTCTAGATGATGATGGGTACCTGTCTTTTCCCAACCTGTCTGAAACCAACCTCCTGCCCCAGAGCTTGCAACATTATCTTCCGATCCGCTCTCCCTCCCTCGTGCCCTGTTTCCTCTTCATCTTTTTCTTCCTGCTCTCTGCCTCCTTCTCAGTGCCATATGCCCTCACTCTCTCCTTCCCTCTGGCTCTGTGCCTCTGCTACCTGGAGCCCAAGGCAGCCTCCTTGAGCGCCTCCCTAGACAATGACCTGAGTGACAGTTCAGAGGAAGAGGTGTGTACCTCAGCATAGAACACACTTCCCCTGCGTGTTCCGTGCTTCAGTCCAAAACAGTGTTAGCCGGATGCTGCAGTAGTGGTCCGACTTTCAGAGCCTCATTTATTGTTTGTGCCAATATGTTGAGGTCTTGTGTGTTGGGGAGTCCAACCCGGGCCCCAGGGTTAGGCACAACACCATGTGGACATAGCAGTCTGCAGCCAACTTGGAATTGTTCTGCAACCCCCCGAGTTCCATGTCAGCTAAAGAACTCAACCAGAAATGGGTTTCAAATGACCCATTAGCTATGTAAAAGGCCAAGACTCAGTTAAAGGTTCTGTTCAGTTACTACCTAACAAACTAAATCATAATGAAGATAGTTAAGTAGCTTACAGACAGAGCCTCCTCCAGAAGGGTTGCGTCATTGTGTCTAGGTAGCTTCAAAATGGCAAATGTGTCTCCTCCTGGGAGATTCTCCTTGGTAGTCACTGCCATTGCTACTCACTAAGGTGGGTCGAGTCTCAACACGAATTGGGTCAGAAAGAATGCCTACAACAGTTTATCACATCAGTCATTGGTGGGGCCAGAAGCAAGACCAGAAATAACTATATGCAGAACAGGGGTGTCCAGGTGCAATCAGGAAAAGATTTATTTAAGGTTTCTCTATGTTGTGAAAATAAGCTGTGATCTCATCAGTGCCTGCAGAGCCTGTGCACATTATCAAATGGCAGTAATTCTTCAAATCCCCACATTTTGACAGTGTGGTAAAGTCAGAGAAGGTAGATAGGTGTCACTCAGTCAGGTATGCATGTAGCAGAGTAAAGAACCTGAGCTTTCAGCCTGTCAGTCTCCTGTCTCTCTTCCCCGCAACTAAGTGAGTTGACATAGCTAACAGCTTTTTCTCTTAATTGCTCCTCTTTCCCACCACCCCACATCTCTGTGAGCAGCATGGCAGCTTCCCTTTCTGCACACTTCAAATAGCACTGGAAAAGAATAGAAGCTACCCCCAGAGGCACTGGCTGTCATGTCATTGCCCACCAGCACTTCTCCCCAGGCTCCCTCCTGCTCTCCTTTTCCCACAAAACAAGGGCTTTTGTGGCAGGAGACAAGCCAAACACTCCTAGCATTTTTTTAAAACGAAAGAAAGTCTATAGAGTTCCATGTTCATCTAGAAAGTCATAATTTGAGCTGCACCTGTGAGTATATAGAACTGCTAAGATATGTCAGTACCTATATTTAGTGGTATTGTGACCATTGCTGTGTGCAGCAAAAGGAAAAGAAAAATGTGAATGGTCTCACAGGTGCTCTAAATGAAAGTGTAAGCTTTTCAATTTGATATTGCATAAGAGTTCTTTTCAAGGTCTTAATATATATGAACCTATAGGTAACTATTTTTATGCCTGGAAAATATTTTGAGAACTCCTTTAAATTCTTAGTTTTAATATCACCATTTCTAACAATAGCAATATTATCAAGTAGTATAGGACCAGAACATGCTACAGTTAAGAATATGATTTCATCTACAAAGACTATTCATGGATTTCTAACCTGAAGACATATTTTTCCTTTAGCAGAAGAGTAAGTCCTCACGCTAACATAAAGGAAAAAAAAAAAAAAAGATTAGGGTTTGATGCTTTTCTAAATTCTCAGTAACTCCTTGAATTTTTCTATAGCCAACCACACAGATCTTGTGCCTAATCCAGGGTATACATCTTGTTGTAATTGGTGCATGAGAATTAATGTTAAACTTGGGCATGCCTGCATTACATCAGCAAAACAAATCACAGCAGTTCATTGTTGCTAGCTAGTGAATGCGGGAAGGGAACTTCCAGTCCTAGCTGTCCTTGTTACTGCAAATCTCAGAAACCATGAGTTATCCCTGACCACTGCTGTCTTCTCCCTGACCTCTCCAGCCACATTTAGCCTATTACAGCTCTCCTGCCACCAGGCTTTGTATTTGGCCATCTGTTCCATGTAGACTCTTAACCCCAGGTGTTAAGAGCTGTGAGATATTTAGGTCATTGTGGTTTTTTTTTTAAATGCCATTTGCTTACTTGGCCTGTTTTATTCTCTAGGCCTCAAAGTGCTTTGGCAGCTAAATTGGGTAACTTGTTAACATACAACTCATCTCTGTTACTTTTGTTTTTGCAAAGTTGTTAATGGCATAATTCTTTTTACATTTTTTTGTGTTATAGTGGGTTAATCAGTTCTAGCCTTTCTCAAGAGTGAAACCCAGTACAGAAAGTCCTAATCATTTCAAAAGATAAAACAGCCAATCATTTTTCCTTTCATAAAAATTTTCAAAATGGTCAAATGAGAAGGGGTAAGGAATATCATACCATCTTTCAAGAACCATAAGATAAATTTAGCTCACCATAACACAATGTAATTACATGTGAACTTCTGAGTAATTTTTTGGTAATACAAAAAAGGGGATGGATTCAAATCAGGAAGAAAAACTAATTGATCAGCTAATTTATAACAACTCAAATTGAGTAAAGGTAGAGTTGTGTGGTAGTTCTTGACTATCAAAATACTATACATTTTTCAGTTTTGTGTAGTCATAGAACATTATATAAGTAATAGTTGCTATAAAACTGTTTTGTTCAGATTTTATTACTTCATTTATTGACTACTAATTGATTAAGCACCATGCTTGTTAACTATATGCTAAGTAGGAATTTGAGGTAGTCTACAGATGATTTTTTTTTTAACACATTGTCTCACAGTGTTGCCCGGGCTGGCCGTGAATTTGAGATCCTCCTGCCTGAGCCTCTTGGGTAGCTGGGATCGCAGATGTTGACAATGTTAAGATATATGGCCACAGATATATGATACTAGGGAAAATTAGCAATAATTACAAAATATGTTGATATCAATATATTATAATAATTATAGGCAACTTTTAGCTCTGTGTAGGTCAGGCATACACTTGGTGTTTATTACCCAGCATGGTTAGATCTGTTATTTTCCAAGAAGATTCTAAGAATGAATTAAAATATGAAATAACCCCCATGTATCACAGATTTGAACAGTAAGGGTTTGAGCGCATGTCAGTCTTACATCAGACTCCCCACTCTTATCTTCAACTGAACTCTAATGCTTCAGTTTTATTGAAGTAAAATTTAAAACCGTAAGGAAACCATAATTCATTTTGGCGGAGAAACACCTTCAGAACTTTAGATGTTTTTGACACAGCTAACTAGGAAACTAAGCACAAGTCATTCTTATTTTTCCTAAAAGCCCAAAAGATCCTTGAGGTATTCCATACACTTGAACTGTAGCATGTCACTTTCTTACTAATTCAAACTGGTCTTTCTTTGTTCTGTCAGTTAGTGAAGCTATGCTAATGCCATAACAATGATTACCCCAATAAGAAAACTAATAGCTACCCCCCGGGTATTAACCAAGATGGTCAGGTTGTGAAAATGTATCAGCCACCCTTCCTTGACAAATCTGAAAATTGTTCTCAGTTAGGGTTGCTAGCAAGGTTGCCATCCTTGGGTAAAAGGCCAAGGATGCATTCCAATGCCTTTTCTTTTAGGAATATATAAACGAAAGTTGTGATAGTGCTGGCCATTACATCAGTAGAAACATACTGTCCCTGCTGTCACTTCTTGTCTTTAATCTTTGAAAGAAGGGATTATTATAAGAGACATATCTACAACCATTCCCCCAATTCTGAATCTTGTTTTCAAAATATTAATTACAAGTCTTTTATTGAAGGAATTTTTGTAATGATTAGTTCCTTTACATTTGGGCAATTCAGTAACATCTCAGATTCAGTGCTCATACTCTACTTCACGCAAGAGAAAATAGTTATTGTTTTATAAAATAAATCTCTTAGAAACCAGCCCCAAAATTGCCATTTTAATTCTCTCCTAAAAATGTAGGCTCTGTTAAATGCTGTGCTTTGTTTTATTTGTTTCCGAATAGACGTCTCTCTCTCTATTTTTTGCATCGTTTGTATGGTATTTTTGCAATGAGATGTTTAAGTAGATACTTTGATATACTTTATATTGGAGGGTGGGATATAATAACAGACAGTCTTTAGAAATATTTCTTAGCAATGCTATTTGAAAATTGAGTTGCATTGTTCCTCTCTAAAACATATACCTGAGTCACTGGCATGTGCTTTTAATTGTCAGTAGGTAATGCAGACAGCCGAATGGTCATAGATGGACGTAAATGATCCAACGGCATAAATGAGGGGCTGAAAGTCCAGTGACTATTACAGTAGCATTTTATGTAAATTTACATTTTTCATTTACCTTTCAAATGTGACTTATAACTGGAATTTTAAATGTGTATATAAACCTCAATTTTTATTTGCATTAATGATTCTTAGGAGAGCCTTCCTGGGGTATCAGTGCAAAGGGTGGGAAGAGAATGACAAATTGGGTTTCCTGAGACATAGAAGCAGACAGGTCAGGGTAGCCCTGCAGGTGGTGCGCGCCTCGGGTCTTCCTCGGAGGGGCTCTGCTGATGACCCCTATCTCTGGCTCTTTTGCTTTGCTTGAACTTGCACTCCTGTGGGTAGGTAGTATGCCACAGACCCTAGAAAAGGAAAATGAATGCTTCCACCTGCGTGTACCATGTTTGACCAGATGGGTTTGTTCTCTGTCCCTGCTTCCTCCTGGAACCTGATCACATCTGTGGTCAACAGACCGACAGTGAGCGGACGGACACTGCGGCTGATGGGGAAACCACTGCCACTGAGGTTAGTGGGAAACCAGGGTGGCTGGCAGTGGCCTACAGAAAATGCCTTGTGGGGCAGATGTCCCTGCATGTGAGAATTCTGCATATTAGCTTTCAGAGACAAATTCTTACTCTCTAAATATATTTTTATCACCTTAGACAAAAATATCTCCAACTCTGGTTTGTGTCAGAATCACCCAGAGTGTCCCAGCCTCAGGTTTCTCATTCCAAAGGGCTAGAGTGGGACTCAAGAATTTATTGTTCTCACAAGATCCCAAGTGATGTTGAGTCATTGTTAGATCACATTTGGAGATCCACCTGCCTAAGCTGATAATACCTTTTAAAAAGAAGAAGACAAAGGGATTCTACTATCTTGATGAGAGGCTGTTTATATATGATAGCAGTGAAAAGTGGGGAGAAGGGTCACAGTTAATTTAGTTAGTTTATTAGCTGGATATAGATACATTTTTAAATCCCAGATGAGTCAAATACTGCTTTTTAAAATAACACTTCTCTTAAAGCTTGTGTGTGTAGCCTTTGGCTATTGCATAGTTCACTCTAAGAAGGGAATTCTCTAGCAAATTACTATTAGTACTTTATTGGAAAAAATGTAATCACATTCAACAGAGATGCTATGCTATTATTTCTCCTTTATTAATTCTGTAAAATATATTAAGCGCTTGTGTCTTATATCATTCTTAAATTCTGCCCTACCAATAGCTAATTAAAATTTCTGTTAAAACAATATTTGTCTACAGTAATGGAAGTTAAGGTGTTTATTTCCCACAGTACTAGCAGAATTTAGTTTTTACCTTATAATAAAGTTTATTTTAGATTGCATGTTATTTTCTGCATCATCCAGTCATACCCATATTTTCTAGTTGGGTATTTAAGAAGAACTAAAAATGCTATGAATAGTATCTGTACATCACTTAATTGAAAATGTCTTCAGGAAAAAAGTTATAGTGGCATTTTATTAAGGTCTTCCTTTGGAAATGTCAGAGTTCACTTCACAGCTTAAAAATTATAAGTTTTTTAAAGTAAGAGATAATAGTGTGAAGCTACTATCTAGGGTGTTTTAAGGAGTCCTCTATAAACCTATAAGTTAACAGTTTTTATGCCAAATATAACAAAACTGTGCCTCAATTTTTTAAGAGTTAGTTACATGTAGTCACAAGTTACATCAATAATTGTCATCAGAATCCTAAAATGTACTAGAAATGAAGACTATTTTAATAATGGTACTTAAATTTGAATGGCAGTTTTAAACTTTGTCATCGAACATTGAGAGCATTCAAACAAGTTCAGGTAACCTAGGTAGACTGTGAAGCCTCATATAAAATGAAGAGCTGTGAACTGACCATACACTTACGAATCAGCCTGTCACCTGCACCATGTGGGTTTCCCGTGCCCTTTTTGCACACTTTCCTTTCTTTCAAGTGGCTGGGACAATAGTAATACAGTGTTGATGTGCAGAGTAGGCACTCTTGTCCTCTTTGGCAGATAAGGAAACAACTGGATAGACCACTTGTTTGAGTGTGACCCTTTCCTCATCTGTAATTTTACTCTGGTCTCTGCTTGGCGCATAAGTCCCAGCCCTGGATTAGAAAGCCATGGTGAAAGCAGCCTTACCATGCAGGCACACATGACTTGGCTTACTTACCTCCTTACTGTACTCAGATACCAAAACAAGGATTGGATGGGTCCTTGAAATTAGAAAAATAAGAATAATCAGGCAGCTTTGGGATTTTCATTTTAAAGAAATGGTAGTGTTATTGATGGTAGTTGATTTTTTTTAAGCTAACTTACTTATCCCATATCAGTCTTCTCCTTTCTGAAATTTATTTTTAAGTATATAGACTTAAGAAAATAAATGTTCCAGAAAAAAAAAAGTCTTGCAATTTATGAACTTACATTTAACTTTGTTAAAGTCTTTGAGCCTCAATTCTCTGTTCCACAAATTGAGGGTTGTAATAACTAATCTTATAGGATTTATTGTGAGGATTCATAAATTACAAGGGAGCTGTCACCATGCAATCTTAACTATATTTCGGAATTGTAATTAGGCTCCCCACACTTCCAGAACTATTACTAATGTTCACTGAGACAGCCTGCCAGGCCCTCACTGCCACCATCCTAAACGTGCACATCTGCTCATCAAAATGCCAGTAACTGCCTAAGCAAGGAATCTTTCACTCCTCTGGTCTTAGTAAGCATCATAACTGGTGTGTGAGAATGCCATGCTTTGTGTTTTAAGAAAGAATCCCATCCATATGTAAGAACACACTGGGTGCTCCTGTTTAGCAAGCTTCCACAGACCATGGTTCTTCAGTCTTAGAGTAAATGACATAGTAAGACTTTATTTCCCACTCTTTCTTGACGCTGACAGTCGGACCAGGAGGAAGATGCAGAGCTCAAGGCACAGGTAGAAATTTAAAATCCAGTGTGTGATAAGTCATTGTCTAGCGTGCTCACATCTCTTAGCATGCTCATAGCTATTGTCATGGTGATGGTGCATTGTGTAGGATAACATTTGTTCCCTGACTATTATGTCCCTTACCGTTCCCTTTCTTCTCCACTTTTTTCAGAATAGTCTGATTAAGCGAATAAAGGGTGAAAATGTGTATGTCAAACATAGTAATCTTATGTTAGAGGTTGGTATTGGTATATACCAGTGCATGTCTGTGTGTCGTTTTTCCTGTAGTGGCATACATGTGGGCTCGTACCATGATGCATGAACTGGGTGTTCACCTCTTAATAAGTGGGGGTGACTTGGTGGCTTACTCTTGTTCCTTATTCTCCTCTAGATGTAGATCCCTTTTCCTGTGTGTGTATTTATTTTAATTTTCTGCAGTTACATGTAAATTACACTCCTTATGGTTTACCTTTCTAAATTCTTTTATTTATATGCTTGTGTGAAACTAAATTTTTCTTTTTTTTTCTCTTTTCCCTGGAAATATCACATTCTCACCAGAGTGTTTGTGGTGATGTCATGAGTCCTGATCAAAATTCAGTTTTCTTTTGACTACTAATGAGATTAACATTACTGTATTTAACAAAACAAAAGTGCTGAAAGGAAAACACAAAAGACTGACGGTTGCATTCTTTATGTTCTGAATATAGGAGCTAGATAAAACTCAAGATGAATTGATGAAACATCAGACCAACATTAGTGAGCTGAAAAGAACCTTTTTAGAAACCTCGACAGACACTGCCATAACGAATGAATGGGAAAAGAGGCTTTCTACCTCCCCAGTGCGACTGGCTGCCAGACAAGAGGATGCTCCCATGATTGAACCACTGGTACCTGAAGAGGTCAGTATTCAGGCCTTGGGGTGGAATTGTCTTCTATTCACTGGTGTCACTTCTGTTCAGGGTTTGGAACTGGAAGAAGGGTTTGATGAGCTTCTGAGGATCTCATCTCTTACTGTATGTAACTGAACCGAGTCGCTCAGTGCTCCAAAGGAAAACTAAGAAAAATGAGCAGCCAACTGAGGAGTGAATAATGTCATCAGGCAGTGCTGAGAATGGTCAGGAAGCCACAGGGAGTATACTGCAAATCAGCTGATTCTGCTCTAGCTTTTACAGCTGGGAGAAGTTGAGATATTAAGTGAATTGACACTTTTTTTTTAATGTAATTCTATGCTGAGAAACTCACTCCTGTATGTTTCTTACCAATTGCAAGATGAAACCTATTAAAATTATCTACTCGGGCTGCCAGAATGATTTAGGTCATAGCATGGCACCTTCCTAGCAGATGCAAGGCCCTGAGCTCAAGCTTCCCCTTTCCCCCTCAAAAAAAATTGTCTACTGTTTAAATGGCAATCAGAAGTTAATAGCATTTCAGGACACATTTTACTCTGTGGGTCCCATTGTGTTGGACTCACAAATTGCAGTAGTCCTAATTTGACTATCTACCATTAGACATTAGATTTTTTTTTATTGCTCCTTCCAAAAAGTCACTTTTGAAAACTACATCCTTTGAACATTGTATTGATTAACCTCCTTCTTATCAAAACCCCTTTATTTTGAAATATTTCTCCAGGAAGCTGAGACAGAATAGAAAATTAAAACTTAGGTCTTTGTGGTAATAAAAGCCTTTAAACAGTGGTCTATATACAATTATACAATGCTACAGTCTTGCAGTGAAAATAAGAATCAAATTATACCCAATGTTGATCATTTTCTAAACCTCCTTTGAAAACTGCTTATCAAAAGTGACGAGCACCTCACTGTCACTGTATTTGTGACAATTCCAGTCCCAGCTGGAAAGGGAAGAGGTACATATCCATTTGAATTACTTTGAGAAGGGCCCTTTTATGCTGAATAAATGATAAGTGTTACTACCAAAGTATTCCTGTGCCATTAAACACCAGATCCACTCAAATTACCTGAGTTTCAAGACACACAAATTTTTTTTTTTCATTTTTCTTTTATTATTCATATGTGCATACAAGGCTTGGTTCATTTCTCCCCCCTGCCCCCACCCCCTCCCTTACCACCCACTCCGCCCCCTCCCTCTCCCCCCCCCAATACCCAGCAGAAACTATTTTGCCCTTATTTCTAATTTTGTTGTAGAGAGAGTATAAGCAATAATAGGAAGGAACAAGGGTTTTTGCTGGTTGAGATAAGGATAGCTATACAGGGCATTGACTCACATTGATTTCCTGTGCATGGGTGTTACCTTCTAGGTTAATTCTTTTTGATCTAACCTTTTCTCTAGTACCTGTTCCCCTTTTCCTATTGGCCTCAGTTCCTTTAATTTTACCTTCAGTTTGATTTAAATATGATTGTTCTTGCATTACTGAGAATGCTACCACTTACCAGTTATGCTGTCAGAAATTGTATTGTAATTGGTCAGGTTTGCCTTACTCTGTTTTTGCTCTCTCTTTTGCAAATAATATTCTGGTTTTAAAGATGCCAGATCCTGGACTAAGTTACAAACATACTAAATAAATAGCCACCCAAAGCAAAACAAACAAACAAAAAGCCAAGCATCTCTTCCCATGCTGACACTTAAAATGGCAGGTACCAAAAACTTTGAGCAAAAATTTGACTTACAGCTTAGAGAAGTTAATAAACAAGGAGACTTGAAAAAATTAAAGCAATCAGACTGGTAAAAATTTTTTTTTACTTTGATTAAATCCTGAATCTTAAAGAATGATGTAAGATGAGCCTCAAGAGTGTTAATAATTTAAGGAATTAATATTTTGAATATACTGAACTTTCCCTGAATGTTAATGCCTTTTCTTTATATGTGCAAAAATATTGTAGAAAAGGCCAGGAAAGATTTTGGTCAGTCTGATCAAAGGATAAAAGTGTGTCCCCTGCAGAAGAGCAATGCAGTTTTGGGTATGTAGACTGGAGAAGTCCAAGCGTGTGTAGTGACCACTCTCATGCCTCTGCTACCTGTCATGTGGGACTTTACTGTCCCATCACTACTAGCTAGCACAGAGGAAACGACAAGTTGTGTTTGACTAGATATAAAGAACTTAAAAACAAGCTTGACTAGCCTTCGCTCCCAAAGCAGCTCTGGAAAAGCAGCTGTAAGGAGATTCAAGTCCCAGAGAAGAGAGCTCTCTTAAGGTGGTCTGAGTCCTGTGTTTCCCTGGGTAGCAGGGCCAGTCAGAGTGGCCTCTACATTCTCTTCTGCTCTTTTCTAGGACCTAGTGGTCTTCGATGACTGCCAAGTTTATAGTTGGGGGCCTTTTAGGTAAAACTAGAAAGTTTAGGGCAAACTAGAAAGTTCTTATGATGTAAGTGATTACCAATTTCTATATTAAAATCATAGATTCTGTTATTTGTTTTATAAAAAGTACAGATCATTTTACCCTCCAGCTAGGTACATATAAAGTATATTGGCTTACAAACACATAAGCAAAAGATTTTTATTTTGGAGTAGAGGCTTTTTCCAAGACATATGATCAATTTGATATCACTGTTATTTCATATTCCCACTTTAGATTAATTCATTAAATAGTAATCAGCCAATGTAAAAAGAAGCCAGGTTATTTCTAAATGGAAATATTTAACCTAATTTTTAAAATTGACATCCCAACTTTAAGTAATACTATTTGCTTTAGAATCTGGAATAAACGTAGATTTGGTGACTCCAGACGTATGATACCAGGCTCAGTTGGATTTGCTTCTGGTTTTTGGTAAATCTCAGTGCCAAAATAATATTTCAAAAAAAAATTTAATGAGTACTGATTTTTAATGTGATTATCTTTTTTCTTTGCTATATAATGGTTAAATTCTAAGTAAGCCTTATTTCTATAAAGTGCTACCCATTTATGAATAGTTAAGAGAAAAATTAGTCAGAAATATGTATAATGAGGTAATAATAATTCTGCCCTGAGAACTACATGTGTTTGCCATATAAAATAGTGATTTGATTGCTAGTAGCTTACAGTTTCAAATGTTTAAGTTGGTAGCAAACAAGTAGCAAGGATACCCCCAAAACAGCAGATAAAATTAAGACCCCATTAACTTTGGAAAATTACAAACTCATACACAGGGCCCACCAAATGGAGGAAGGGTAGGCATGTGGTCTGTGCAGGGTCCCAGGTGCACCTCTGCTCACAAACATTTCCCACAGAAGTCTCTTCTGATGCACCTAAGCGTAGCCCCGATGGAGGTGCATTCCTGAGGGAATACCTGAATACCAAAAGTTTTCAAATCCCAACCAAAAACAATATGCACCAATATGTATGCAGTGCCAATATTGTCCTCTTTTTCCTGTCAGTGGTGAATTTATAGCTGTGTTCACTACAGAACAGAATGAACATAATGTATGTGATGTAATGAATATAATATGCCTCCTTGAGCTAGACACTTAGTATAGTTGATTCTCATCATTCCAAGATTCTGTATTTTCAAATTCACCTATTCCCTAAAATTTATTTGTAGAAGCCATTAATCACCCAAGAGTGAATGACAGTTTTATGAATTTTGTTTGCCAGAATAGGTCCTTGTTTCCTAAGTAGAATATAGGGATAAGTGTTTAAGTACCTAAATGAAATGACTGAATATCTGACTGTATTCCAAACACTAGTAAAAGTACATTTTTAAGAGACAGGCTTGTCTTTATCAGTACCTCTTCACTTCTCTAGTAGCTGAACTAATTAGGTTGGGAAGCAGACCAAGTGTAGAATTTAATTCTAAGATCCATCCTTTATATTTCTGTTTCTGTTTTGACATGCATAGTTCTGAATGGAGCCTGTGTTGACATTTAAATGATAAGACGAAAACATTTAATTTGTTTCAGACACTGCATATGCTAAAAACCACTGTGTAGCCGCTGGACTTTTTCTTTTAAAGCTTTTATCTTAGGGATGTTATTTAGCTCAGTCATTATAATTAGAGGCACAGCAGTATTATTCTGAAAAGTACCTGTAATTTGGGTCTTTCTATCCTGTTTCTCATTTCTGTTTGGTGAAGAGACTGTAATTGAAAGGTTTTTAAATTCATATTTAATGATTACACATGACCCATTTTTATCTTTTTCAATAACTTCCTCCAAAATTTCAGTAGGACAATTTTTTTCTTTTGAAATATGGATTATTTTTCTCTTATTACATAGGGTCATCTAAGAATGATATTGTCAAAACCTGTCAGGAGAATATTCCAGATGTCCCCATATAACTTCTTGTAGCAGGTGATTTAATGTAGTGCTTACTAATAGTTTAGTGGACAGACAGGGATTTTGAATAATGCTTATAAAATTATATTGTTTATAATGATAAGATCTGTTCAAAGAGTTCCATTCTTTCCAGAAACTTTTCTAAGAAATTCATTTTTTAGATGAATTTTCCAAAATTTCCTTTCTTCCCTTCTCTACAGAGTTGAGAGATAGGCTTGATAGCTACTGGGTTACTGTGAATAGGCCTATTTAAAGAAAGGAATAAAAATAGTTTAAAAGAGCTAGCTTTTAACATGACATATTTAATGTTTCTTAGTTTTACACATTTAAGAAAAATATGACTTGATTAAAATTTTTCAAGATAGTTTGAAATTAACTTTTAAAAATTATTCACCGTGTTATAAAACTTCAAATAAAGTTTGAATATTTGTATTTGTGGACATCAAAGAAATAAATCATCCAAGTACAATTGGACTTATTCAAACTGATGCCTGACATTGACTCATGGGTATTTCCCTCCTCCAGACCAGGCAGCACATGAGTGAGAATACAATCAAATATTTGTCAGAGATAGAAGTAAAGTTTTATTCCTAACTTCAATGTTTTTTAATTTCTTTGTATTTTCTTTTAACTCTTACTTTTATAATCTGTGATGCAAACATTGTTCAAATGCCAAAAAACCCTTTATGTAGCTCTTGTATGTTCTGTGTTTGTAGAAATAAAAGATGTTTGAGTTGCATAAACATACTCAAGTTTTAGAAAATAATCTGTTACTATAGAAATTGTTATTAAATTTGAAAGTGCTTTCAGACATTTTTCACATTAATAAACAATAATGTACTTCTTCAGGAGAAAAGGAATAAATTATCGTAAATGTATACATCCATACACATATATATTCATACATATATGCATGTGTTATATGTATATATAATACAATAAAAGGAGTCTTCCTAACTTGCCTTTTTGGAAACTGTCTACTTCCTCTTCTCCAACCCAACCCCTTTTATTCAAACAGACCAAAGAAGAAAGAGAGATTTCTGAAAAAGTTATATTTTTGCAGCAAGGAAGTTCTCCATTCCTTGAGTCTCAGGTAAAAAACAAACATAAAGAATTTTCCAAAAGGAATTGCTCTTAGATTTCAGTGTCATTAAAACATTTTTAGCTTTTATTTTCCTTTTAAATTTTATCTTGTTTTAAACTAAGGACTTCTTTTTGATTTCTACTCCTAGATGATTATAACTGTAAATTACCATTGACGCTCAATGATTGTATTTTCTGATAGTAATCTTACTGAAACTTTTCACTGCCTGTTTTTAATCTGTAGAGTGGTGCTTATTTAGATGACCTTGACTGATTTTGAAAGTTCTGAACTTGTATTGGTTTTCCCACTAGCCGAGCGTGATTAAGAAAATGCAGAAAGGAGACTCTGCTGGTTCTGTGGCTACTTCTCGTCAAATAATTTTCCAGAAAACTGTCCCATCAACCCTAGAGGTTACTTTTTCAGTTCATTTCTTTTAATCCAGTTCCAACTTGTAGATCAATTTGTAATCGTTTTTCTTAAGGCACACTTTCACTTAGATTCAAGTTCTCAGGCTATGGTAAATATGAAAGTAGAGACTATCCTAGTTTAAAATGTAAAGCAAGGCATTTGTCTGCTCCTGGCTTGACTTCTCTTCCCTCTGTACCCTGGGAGGGTGGTCAGCTTGTAGCCCATCACATTCTATTAGATCTGCCTGAATGCAAAGCTTTCTTGGACCTTGTTGAAAGTAACATTAAAGAAAGTAGAAGAGAAACTACTGAGACATTGACTCCAGTTGTGATTAAGATTGGAATGCTTTGAGTTCAAAAAAAAAAAAAGATTGAAAGATTGGAACATTGTACAGACCCTAAGGCATATTTATATAAAGATCCCATAGTGCCCCATCAGTGGGAAATATTTCATTACAAGGCCCTGAACCAGAGGTACACTCCAATGTTTGTTGGAAAATTAGCATAATCACAGATTGACTTCCCTATATAATGAAGTACAATTTACAAACATGGAAAATGATATTTATAGAAATTTGTAGAATGTTGTTTGTGAAAACAAGAGTATATGAAGTTTAGCGTGAAAAACTGCCCTTTTGTGTCCACACATGTGAAGCTGAATAACTTGTAGGATGACTTCAGTAATCATGTATAATCTCAAAGTAGAAAATAATTAGTTTACCATGAGATCACATACACTTCTTTGTGATATGTTCCTATTTAAAGAAATCTGAAATTGCGACCCTACCCTGGAGAATGTGTTCGAAGTGAAAGATTAGAGTTAGTAAATTTCACATGCAAAGAGATCACAGCCATTGCAATCCCACTGCAGACCTGAATGTGACTCTTGCCCTGATTTTCTTAAAGGATTCTTATTTTAGAAATGAGAATACCATCAGAATTTCTAATTTAGCTTTTATATTTCATATATAGGGCACAGAGGATTGGGTAATTGTAGACAAAATACCCACTGAATTAGTTGATGGTGATTCGAAAAAGATTGTGACTTACAAGGTGGTGACTGTGAGCAGTAGAACTGGTGACATCCCAGCTGACATGCTAAAACCTAGCACTATTGAAATGCACACCTTTGAAGACTTGGCCCGAGAAATGCAACTGAAAGAAGAAAACAGACAGAAAATCTACACTCTAGGAAAATCCTATGACACGGTCTCGGGAAGAATTGTTACTATGACTGGGAAAACCAAAGAGGGAGAGAAAGTGGCACAGCCCTCTACCCTGGAAGCTCTGCAGAAAATGGAGAGGAGCATGTCAGAGTCGGTGAAGGTCACTCCCATCCTTGCTGAATATGAGGTCCTGGAAGCCCTTGCTGATGAGAAATCCAGGAGAGGACCCGAAGTCCAGACTGCAAAGCGAAAATTGTCAGAATCCCTGGCACCCATCAAGGAAGCAGAGTCTCGACAACAGAGTCCTGAAGAAGATGACCTCAAGAAGGCTCCAAAGCTGGGAGAGGGTGCACCCATCCACCCTCACCCAGAAAGCATGAGACCCAGCAAAGCAGAGCAAGTGCCTGAGAGCGAGGTCCTGAAAGTGGGACTCTTTGGTCCCCGAAGGAAGAACCTGTCTGAATGGAGATATTCCCAGGAGCCGGACTTTACATTTGCTACTGCTCATTACGTCACCGAGTCGTCTGCATCCCGAGTGGTGGTAACCAGTGGCTGTCATTCGGTCACAGTTTAAGATTCCAGCATGACATTATTTGAGGCAGTGCCCTTCCACCCCAAGCCTTCCTGTTTTTCTCGCTGCTTGGCTTTATGTTAAAAGCAGCCAACCCAGCTTTTTGGTTTTTTTCATGTTGGATCAATACTGCAGTACAAAGTTAGCATTAAAACACCTTCTGTTTTATTTTCAGCTGCCCGTTCCCAAGATGTGATAATGCTGCTGTGGCTTGCATTGAAGGGGAAAAAAATGATCTGCTTAAATCCTAATAACTCTCTCTGCTTTAGCACACAAGAGCTCATGGTGCTCCCACCTCGCTATTTTATTTCCCATTCTTTTCTGTTTCCAACCTCCGTATCTGTTGTGGATTCTGTCATTCCTCCTTCCTTTTCCCTGTTCCCACACTGTTGTCTAACAAGCTGCAACTATTGGATGTGCCTGAGTGTTCTCTCTTTCTTGTGCTTGACTCTCTATTTCTTTGTTCTCTCAGACTAAACAGTCTTCTGGGGAAAAGCTCATGGATGGCTCTGAAATCTTCAGTTTATTAGAGTCTGCACGAAAACCAACAGAATTCATAGGAGGGGTGACGTCTACTTCCCAGAGCTGGGTCCAGGTGGCCATTTGCTCCCATCCTCAGCATTTCTGAATGTGCCCATTTGCCTCGCTTTATGCCTTTGCATAAAGCAAAGTGTGTGCTTATGTTTTGCATCCAAGTGGCTTTACCTTCAATGTCTCAAAGGTGTCTTTATGCTTGCGTATCTGTCATGTGCCTTTCATACCATTTCAAGAATGTACTTCACATACATTCAATTTCAAAAGAAATTTTAATGGCGTTTGAGTTTTAAAGCATCTGTCTCATCTCTTGGGTCTAAGAAAGCAGTCGAAACCAGTGTGGATGAGCTAGATACTTCTTTCCCTTTTTTGTTGTTTTCTTACATGTTTTGTTGCATTCTGTTTCTTTTGTGGCTGCTCCAGTGTGGCAGCACAGTTCCAGGGTGTCCAGCAACACACATCAATGCTTCTGGCAGGAGGCATGAGAGCTAATCACTGTTCACGTTCATGAACACTTGATGTTGGCTTTGAGTGGCAGCTTTAGAATTTTTGTTTCTGATTTTCAGTTTGCGGAAAATCACTCTGACCACCCACTCTTTCCATACAGAAAGTGGAAACCAAGACAGAGTCCAGTGAGACAGAGATGGAAACAACCCCACACCACCAGCCCCTTAGCACTGAGAAGGTGGTACAGGAGACCATTTTGGTGGAGGAGAGGCACGTGATGAATGTGCATGCCAGCGGGGATGCTAGGGACAACATAGATGCTGCAGCACAGTCCGCATCCACAGAGGCTCCCAGTGTGAAAGCAAAAGAGGGCTCAGCTCTGACGGAAGGAGCTAAGGAGGAAAGAGGGGAGACCGATAAAGCTGCCCCCGAGCAGGAAGACACAGCCACTGCCTCCCAAAGGCAAGAGGAGGAGCAGAGCGAAGGTGTCCCCATCGCTGAGGCTGCAGAACAAAAGCCTCATTTCGAGGTAATCAGTGGTTAATGTTGCTCTGCATGTGAATGTAAAGTGGATATTTTATATTCCGGAGTTTAGATCAGTCAGTGAGTGGTGGAGCTTAGTTTAATTTTCTACCTTTTCCATGTGTGGTCTGGTTTTCTTCTTATTTCCTCCTTACATGGCAAACTAGGGCTCTCCATGCTGGTTGCCAGCTTTTGGGTCATGTACAAACTTACCTGTTGATTCTTAATAATGTGTAGCTTCAGAAGTGGTTTCTCTCATTGCATTTTTCATAATTGGCAGTGAACCTGAGGAACACATGGTTGGCCAAGATATTAGAACATTTGATTGAGAGATTTTGATCAGTGTAATTATCCAGAAACACCAAAAGCCATGCTCTTCCAAGCTCCAAATGCCAGAACTTTATTCTTTATCCTTTTTTATTGAGATTCAAGATAATTTAGGTGGGCTTTATGTCTTACCACTTATTTCTGCATTCTAAGCTATTAAATAAAAAGCTTACTTACGTGTTTTACTCTGTTAAGATTAATATGAACTTGTGGAGGGGGAACATAAAAATAGTTTATTTGGCCAGGCATGGTGGTGCCTGCCTGCAATCCCATCTATTCACAAGGCAGATATTAGGAGAGTCACAGTTCAAGTACAGACCAGGCAAAATTAGTGAAACCCACCCCCCATGTCCAACCAACAAGCTGGGTGTGGTATAGTCCCAGCTGCAAGAAGGGCACAAGTAGGAGAATAGCAATTAGAGGCCAACCCAGGCAAAAAGCACAGACCCATTTGAAAAATAACTAAAGTTAAAAAAAAAAGGAAAGGCTGGGGGCATGACTCAGGTGGTAGGGCAAGCACGAGGCCCTTAATTCAAATGCCAGTACTACCAAAAAATTATTCGAAAATTCCTCTAAAATGTTTTTGTGGCCTGTAACATTCTGTATTTGAAAAGCTGTGGAATTTGAGGACAGTGACATTTATTTGTTATATACCTCATTCTCCAACTTACCACCCATATAATATGTAAACATTTGTTCCATATTAGCCTGGGCTTATGTCAAGTTTCAAAGTACCAAAGAGGAGAGAAAAAAATCCAAAAATGTTTGTGTAAGCTGTCATAACCACTTGCCTTACTTCCCAATGGCACAGTCATCCACTGTGAAGACGGAAACCCTGAGTTTTGGCAGTGTTTCACCAGGCGGAGTAAAGCTAGAAGTTTCTAGCAAGGAAATGCCAATAGTTCACACAGAAACAAAGACCATCACGTACGAGTCATCACAGGTATGGCAGCCTGTGAACACCAGCATCTGGCACCATATGCTTCCTCCCTTTTATGGTATAGTGTATTACCATAACTATTAACTATTGTAGTTTAACTACAATAGTTAATTCATGAGATGTAGAGGATCCCGTAGCCAGACTGTCTCTATCAAGAAGAGTACAGTTCTTGCAGTTTTATTACTGATCATGGAACAGCAACTGATTTAACCAGGTCTTCCAGTGTCTCAAAACATAAGAAAAGGGTGAAATGCCAAGTTCTATAGCCACAGATAAAGAAAGATATTCACTCAGCTTTTTGAAGTCCCAGTTTTTTAATAACTACCCATCTGACCTTGTGTAGCTCTTGCTCTTGGCAACAGCTCCCATATTCTGATTGCCTGGCACAAGGTATATGGGAGAAAGTCACAGTCCTTGCCTGTGGGGGATGGATTCCAGGACCCCCATAGGTACCAAAATCTGTGGGTGCTCAACTCCCTCATACGAAACAATGTGGCACTTGCTTATATGCACATCTGGTATACTTTAAATCATCTCCAGATTACTTATACTATCTAGCACAATGTGAATGATGTGCAAATAGTTCTTCTACTGTAATTTAGGAAATAATGACAAGGAAAAAAGTCTGCAAGTTCAGACTTTTTTCCCCCCAAATATTCCAGTCCGTAGTTGGTTGAATTCTCAGGTGCAGAAACCCACAGATTTGGAGTTTGTTCATTATAATACTTTATATAACACAGCAAGTTTGTGAAGAGGAAATGTAAACACTAAGTCTGGGATCTGTTCCTGTGCTTGCTTAGGTTGATCCTGGGGCTGATCTGGAGCCAGGCGTGCTGATGAGCGCACAGACAATCACATCTGAAACCACCAGTACCACCACCACCACGCACATCACCAAAGTAAGTGCAGTAGGAGCTCACAGCATTGTCCTTGAGAACTGGAGACTGTGGCATTCAGAACTTCTGACAGATTGGGCTGCCTGTTGGGGAGCATTCCAACGTCTCTGTTTCTGATGCACTTGTTGCCAGATGTGAGTTTCTGTTTAGGAATATTCATTCTGATATCTTGTGTTTAATGCTTACTCCAGTGTTGGGGATGGGGTAGACTTTGCAGAAACAAACAGTTCTAAAGAACTCCACTCTGTCCTCACTTCTGAACTTAAGCATGTTAAATAACTTCCATAGAATGGTTTCAATTTTAGATGAATGAATGATGATGGGACCTAAAACTGTCACTGTTTTCTGCCGTTACTCCCACAGAACAATGATGGCTCTGATGAGTAAATTTACAAAGCTTCTCTTTATTTCCCTCAGACTGTGAAAGGAGGCATTTCAGAGACACGAATTGAGAAGCGAATAGTCATCACCGGAGATGCAGACATTGACCATGATCAGGTAGTATGCGTCAGATGTAAATTCCCTGGAAGAGAAACAAATAAATAGACCCAACACGTTGGCCTTGTGGTTCCCATTGCTGTCCTCTAGTCCAGCATGTTTTCTCAAAACTGTTCTGAATTAACTTTCCAATATATGATTTTTCAGTTCCTTTTGTAATCATTGTACCTCATTTGTAAATTGTGGATATAGATTTAGCTCATAAGTCTACACCTTGCGACTGCTCATGCATGTCCCACCTCCTTTTTGTTTTTGCCCTTCTGTGACTTCCTGGGGATAGGCACTGGCTCAGGCAATTAAAGAGGCCAAAGAGCAGCACCCTGACATGTCAGTGACCAAAGTAGTGGTCCATAAAGAGACAGAGATCACACCAGAAGATGGAGAGGATTGACCAGAGGTAAGAGGCAACGCTGATTCTCCAGGCTTGCATAGGCTGGCATGTGGCATGGGGCACTTCCCTCCCTCCTGTCACCTTCTCCCCTCTCCCCTTTTTTCTCTCACTGGCATTTGTAGGAATGGTTACCAAGAGGATGGAGAATTGGTTTATGGATGCTGGGTTCTTTCAGAGTTGGAAGCTCCACACTTGTGGCTGTTTTGCATCTACTGCCAGTTAGAGAGAAGGGAAAAGCAGAGTATGTTTGCATGGTCTTGCTGCTGTTCTGTCTTAATCCAGGCCTTCTACTCTTTTCATTATCCAAATTTGAAATGTCAAATTTGCTGTCACTTGCCATCTTGCCTGATCAGAACTAAACCAGCTTTGTTCTGTGAGATGCAATTTGTGTATTCCATCTACTAGGGAATTAAATATACCCCTTTCTTCTTTTGATAACATCATCCCTTGGAAACTTGCTCTTCAACTATGTTCGGTTATGGTCTGTTTATGCTTTGGTTTTGGTTTTGGGTTTTTGGGTTTTTTTTTGAAACTTGAGCACTCACTTTCTTTTTGGATGTCTTATATTTTCTGTGTTCCTTGGGACTACTTTCCCCTTGGTGTGAACTATTATGTCCCAGGAGGAGGCAGAATATAACATGTGTTCCTGTTTTCCTCCAGAAAGTGCATGCCTTGCCAGTTGCTCTGTGCCCACTCATGAGCAGACCATGCCTCTCTGTGTGTACAGCGTTGCCATGCATACTGACCTGCCATGCAAGAACTCATGGGGCCGTGAGCATCCCTTAGGGGACTTTGAATGCTGGCTCCAATGGTGAAGCTACCTGCACATGTGCTTATAGAATAAGACATTGATGAGACTTAGCAAATAAGTTTGCTAATGGGTTTCAGGAACATTTGGGTTGATGAGTAGCATCTCTTAGAAAAGAAATGCTAAAATCACTTATATTCAAATTAATAATATATTTGGAAGATGGAATACAACGAAAGATTTTCCTCAGTGCGCTTCAGCCACTGGAGTGATACAATTTTTTAAGAGAAGACATATCTTGGACAGTGACTTAGGCTAGAATGTGGTGGTATCTTGTCAAATGAGCATTTTAACCTCCAAGGTACTTATTTGTGACCTTGATCTGAGCAAAAATCTCAGATTTCAAATGAGTAACTCACGAAATCTCTTTTCTACAGGAATAATTTAGCTTGCACATGAATCCAGTCATGCAAACCATTAGGAAAACCAGAGCCTATATGGAGTTCCCTCTTCTAACCCAACTGACTCGTATCTGTCCGTGGAAAATTCCAATCCAGAAGAATTGACCTTGACCATTCATAAAGACCCTGGCAGAGAGATCTTCCCATAATAAAGCAATCCAAATCAGCATCACTAAACTGATATTGCATGAAGCAACAATAAGATTACAAAAGAGCAGCCTTTTAATTTTCACAAATCGTCTCAGTTTTCACCTCTATCTGCACGTTCATAACCGACAATATAAACCTTGATCTCATGTAACACATAAACAGCTCATGCCTTTCCTACTTTATTATTATTAACATCTCAACAAAATTGCAATTTCCTAGGTGACAAATCTTTTGTTTACAGAATATTGAAGAGTATCCTAAAATGTTAGAAGCTGTCTAGGTCTGATGTGTCCCAGATTAGATGTGCCAATAATTGAGTTTATTCAGTAAACAACTTAAATCTTGTACTTGTTTCATCTGGTTTTATTATTCTTACCCATAAGCAGTAATGACTCTCTGTCCCTCTGGAAATATTTAATGCTTACAATCTTGCTTTGTGTACCTCACTTAATTTGTTATAAGGTAGTACCAATTTAGCACATGAATGTGATTTCTTCCTTGTCGTTCACGTTGATCTGCAGTCAATCCAAAAAGCTTCCCAGAGTCATCTAACAAGCCCCAGCTATGTAAATTGTCACTGTTTTGGGGAGAAACCTGTGTTTTTGTTAGTATATAGTTTATATTTCAAATTTTCACTTCCAGAAAATCTACTGGGCTTCTGTTGCTTTGTGTTCTTTCTTTGTTTTTCCTTTATATTTTTTTTCTGTTTTTCATTGATTCTCCTTCTTTTACTTGAAAAAAAAGTGTTTTATTTCCAAATCTGGTCCATATTTACAATCTAGTTCAGAGCCAAGCCTTAAACTGTACAGAATTTCCACTGTAATTAAAACTATTTAGTGTTTAGTTATAAATAGCCTTCAAAAAGATATATTCTCCATTCACTGTCAACCACATCACAGCCCATGGTGAATGTTACTGCATAGCAAAATAAAAATGGCAAATGCATTGAAAGCTCTCATTTTTCATGTTGAATAATTTCAAAATTGTGCTTAGCCCACAGGTAACATTTGCATAAAGTCAAGGCCTCACTCATATGTATGGTAGAGGTGCCCTTTCTGTGCAGAGTTAAAGAATGGCAGCTAGGCGCGGTGGCTCAAACCTGCAATCCTGGCTACTTGGGAGACCGAGACTAGAAGGACCATGGTTCAAGGCCAGCCCAGGCAAACAGTTAGCAAGACCCAATCTGAACCAATAAAAAGCTAGGCATGGTGACAGGAGATGATTATCCCAGCTATAGAGGAAGTGTAAATGGGAAGATTGTAATCCAAGCCAACCTAGGCATAAATGTGAGACCCTAGCTCAAAAAAGAAAAAAGGACTGGAGTTGTGAATCATGTAATAGAGTGCCTGGCTAGTAAACACAAGGCCCTGAGTTCAAACCCCAGTACCACCAAAAAAAAAAAAAAACCCCA